AATTATGGTTTGAATTATCTGACAGACATAGTGCTTTCACCACCTGGCATTTTAGTAACTGAAGCTGGCCAGACATCGTGAACTGCTCTTTTGTTTTTCACTCAATTGTCATTTTGACATTTTGACTCATTGAGTTTTTCACTCAATGGGTCATTTTTATAAATCTCTGCTGTGCTGCACACTCCAAGCAATCTGAAATGACCTGTTTCACTGCAGCCTTTGCACTTTCTTATTTAAATGGAATACATTAAGCATCTTCAATTGCATCTTGTGGAGAGGGGCAAATGTACACTTTACTGAACCTCTCAACAGAAATTTACTAGATGTCCTATTGCAGGTCACACATCCTGGCAAGAGTAGCCTGGATTACTACAGGAATGGCAGTATTGTGCTGTCCCTTTGTGAGAACCCAGCAAACAGCACAGACTTCATGTGTGACAAGAGGCAGGTCAGGCAGTTTGCTCAAGCCTTCCTGCCAGTGTTTTTCTGGCTCATCTTTGCTGTGGGCACAGTGGGGAACACCTTGGTTGTGCTTGTCTATTGCAAATACCACTTCAGGAGGAGCATGATGGATCTGTACCTGCTGCACCTGGCCATCGCCGACCTCCTGCTCCTTTTCACCTTCCCCTTCTGGGCCAAAGCTGCTTCCGATGGATGGATCTTTAAGGACTTCATGTGCAAGGTTGTGAACAGTATGTATAAGATCAACTTCTATGGCTGCAGCTTACTTCTAACCTGCATCAGCTTTGACAGGTACATCACTATAGTCCAAGCGATGAAAGCTAGAACTTGTAAGCGAAGGTGGCTCCTGCGCAGCAGGCTCATGTGCCTGGCTGTCTGGCTGACATCTGTGAGCCTGTGCATCCCAGAACTCATTTACAGCCAGAGCACAGAGGTGGGTGATGTAACAGTTTGCAAAATTATGTACCCACCAAACATCAGTGTGATCTTCAGAGTTACGGTCCTGGCCTTGAAAGTTATCATAGGATTCTTCCTCCCGCTCCTTGTCATGGTGATTTGTTATGCCCTTATCACCAACACCCTCCTACAAGCCAAAAGATTTCAAAAGCAGAAGTCACTGAAGATCATCACCATGATCCTCACCGCTTTCCTCCTCTCTCAGTTCCCATATAATATTGTTTTGCTGGTCAAAGCCATCGACACCTACACAGGGGTGGTGCACAGTTGTCAGGCTGCCAACCAGCTGGACATCGGGCTGCAGGTCACCCAGATCATCGCCTTCCTCCACAGCTGCCTCAACCCCTTCCTCTATGTCTTTGCTGGCGAGCGGTTCAGGATGGCGCTGGCCAGGATGATGCAAAGCTGTGGCTGCTGCTGGAGCAGGGGCCAGGAGCACTTCTCTGCTTGTGACAGCCAGGAGCACAGCTCAAACTGGTCCTTTGCCATGCTGGGGAGGCGGCGGGTCAGGAACTCCCTGATCCTCAACACTCACTGGACCTCCTCTGTTATGTCCCCTCCTTGCAAAGTCATCCTGTAAGTTAGTCCTCACCTTCTCCTCTCCAGAGAAGCACAAGCTCTTTGGAAACCATCTGTGTACCCCAAAGATTATCCCAGAGGGGCAGAAAGTGTTGAGGGGCTGCCTTTGACGTGCAGGACCCAACTGAGGGCTGTTGGCTGAGAGAACAGGAAACCTTTGGCAGATGGGAGCAGAATGGAAACATACTTGCTATAAACAGAACTGATAGATGTCAGAAACTATCTTTGTGACAGCTGGCCCATCTGCAACTCAGACCACAACCTGAAATAACAAGTCTCATAGCAGGTGATACACCCAGCTATGGCAGCAGCACAGGCAGATGAAGCGTTCTGACCACAGGAAGCAGCAGCAGGGGGTTCAGCCTTCATTTGCTGTCACACCAGGTTCCCCTATGAATGTGGCCTGACTTGGGGGCCCTACCAGATTCCTACACCAGATCCCATCCTGTGTAGAGGTGAATGGTCTTTAGCTCTGACACCCGTTTGTAGCAGTGAGCAAATGCTGCTCTCTGTGCCTGGGCAAATGCAACTCTGTTTGGCTGCATAGGTGTTTTTTCTTGCAAAGAAAAGCCAGTTTTTCATATAAATAAAGTGAGTATTGCAGAATGTGGTCTGTCTTACTCCTGTATTTTAGCTGTGTGATGTCAGGTACAATGGTTCCTGTTTTCATACTGGAAACAAATCACCCCTCACAATAAAAAATTAAGGGCTTTGGAAACATTGAGTTATCTGTCCCAGGGATATTTGCTGTATGGTGCAAAGCTGTCATAAACCAGAACACAAAAACCAAACCCATGGTTCAGCTGACCACCAGTTATGCACCAATATCTTTGAAAAATATATTAACCATAGTACCAGCAAGTAATTAAGTGTCAAACCTAATGAAATTTGAAATGAGACATTAGGTTGTGGAGGCTGCCATTCCCAGAAGTGGTGTGCTGTAATGCACCCCAAAACTTGAGCCCACATAGCATCATTTATCTGTTCCGCCTTGCTCATCCTCTCACAGGGACATGGCCTTGTCAGTCCTGCCCGACCACAGCCTGCACCTCCCACTCTTCAATTGCAGGATGTAGTGCTCAGGAGGCTTTGTTTTAAATCATCTCATGTAACCTGGTTTGCCTTCTGGTACTTAGTTCTTGCAGGGAAAAAGAGTTTTCATGGTGCATTTAACATTAAAGCATGCTGGTAAACAAGAGCTTTCTGCAGAGTTTGGTGCTGCTTTTCTAGCTAATAAGGTATACCTGGGCAGATGGGGGTTCAAGTTTCATATACATTTATTAGGATTTTTTTTTACCTTTTCCTTAGGGGGAAAAATGGTCAAAGATGTATATAATTTCCACTGTATGTATAGGAAGGGTATGGGTGTATTTTGTGATTTTTGCTCAGCAAACAGAAGCCAAAATTAAATAAAGGCACTGCCACATACACCAAGGGGATGAACTGGTTGTTTCTTACCCATGCATCCTTCCCAGTTCAGATCCATATACATAACCTGTTTGCAATCACAGCATTAACCCCTCTCAAAAGAAGCCAAAGGAAAACTTTGCTAAGAGGGTCTATTTCAAATATCTAATCCTTGTGGTGTGGAAGCTGCAGCTGAGAACCCTGCAGGCCCCAGAGCAGGTTTAGGCTCCTGAGATGAGGGCTGGGGTGCAGGGCAGGTTTCTGAGGGCAGGGAGCCAGGAAGGGAGGAGGGAGCTCACTGGGGGAAGATGCTTCCCCATAGCAACTCAGCCCTATTACCCCTTCCTGAGGCTGGGGGCGATAGGGCACATACTCAGAGGGTTCTCCTGGCTCCCAAAGAGCCCTTGAGTTATGCAAACAAGTAAGTTAGCTGCTGCAAGCTCCTCTCCCGTGCACTATGTCTCACCATCCCCAGGAGCTGAACTTCGTGGCCATCTCACCAGTCCCCAAAATGCAATGGGGAAATATTCGTGCTCAATCAGCAGGTGAAACTGCTGAGGGTGGTGAAACAGCAATGAATTTGCAGCTGTTTGGGGTGACAGGGTTGTCTGAGTCAGAATGCTCCCATCACTGTGCCAGGGGAAGCTGGGGACCAACCTCCCTGGGGGGGTGGTTTTTACTCTTGGGGTTTGTTCCACCATGGCTGCCTGCACTTCAGCAGCTGCTGCTGGCTTCCCAAGCTGCTCTCACCACAAAAACTCGGGGAGAAGCTGCCTCCCTGCACCCCTGTGGCTGCAGCCTCATCAGCAACCCTTCTTGTTGGTCAGCACAAAGCAGGGACTCAGTCATGGAGGTGTTTTCTGCCCTTACTCCCTCTTGCATCTGCTGGGGGCCTTTGTCTCCCAGCAGCACAGCTCCTCGTAGTCAAACCCTTCTTGGGCTCCTCTGTCCCTCTGCCTTGATAGTTTACTTGCATTTATCCCACCACAATCCCTCTTGTGCCTGGCTAGGGTGTCCCCAGCCTCCACCTGATGCTCTTTTCCAGGATGGGAGGTTTCCTCACAGGCAAAGGGTATTGCCTTCCTTGCTCCATGAGCAGTCCCAGGGGATTCTGCTCATGTTTTATGCACAGCTCTAGCAGGATGAGCACTCAACAGTTGCTGGAAATCCTGGTAGAGGCCCGAGATCTTCCATAGCTCCCCTGCCTTCTCTTTGAGGTCAGTTTTTCCTAGATGTTCCCAGTTTTGGGCTGTCGTCTCCTATGCTTTTGCTCTTCTTCAAAGAGGCAGCTGGACTTGTTCCTGCCCCAAGTGCTGCATTGTCACCATGGTGCAGACAGTCATGTAGAGCAGCACCAGCCTGCTTGTGGTACCAGGGGAGGAAGCTGGGAGAGCCCATGGGAAACTTTCACTCTCTGCAAGCAAACCTGCCTACCTGGTGCCTGGTCTGCTGAAACAGAGACATCTTTATAGAAGCACCTCTACCGAAGTGACAGAAGGGTGTGTAAGTACAGGAATTATTACTATATTTGGACTTCAAGCCTCCCTGTGACACTTCAAGGAATAATGAAGAGGATATGACAACCTTGTGGTAGCATCACATGGTCCCCCCAGAAAAATGTTATCCTGTTTGTGCCAAGACCAGTTCTTGGGGCACAGACCGAGAAATATAAGGCAGAAGTAGGGTTGGGAGAGCCTTTTCCCTGGCACCAAGGGAGGGGATATTACCCAGGATGGATAAAAATCCATTACTGGAGATGGACATAAAGACTTCAATGGCTGCAGCAGTTCCCTGCAGAGTTGAGGTACAGCAAGGCATTGTCACTTACACATGTACTGGCTATATAAAACTCATTCTTTGCAGTCCCTCATACTCCAGCTTAGGCTTTGCTGGAGCCTTTCCTAGAGGGAAACTTCTGAATGTGGAGCCAGGACTCCAGATACATCTGGAGATGCTCTGAAACTTCTACTGGTAATGCTAGCTTTGAAATGAGGGGACGGCAATATAAATTTCATAAAACCCCCAAGTAGACTATACAATTATGAGATTTATCTTCCACACAATGCTATCTCTACAAGGCAAAAAAGGGACAAACATTTGCAGTGATAAAGAATTTTATTCTTAAATTCCTGAGGTTAAAAAAGAAAAAAAAAGCATAAAGAAAAACATTCCAACACAACCATTAACATTTCTGTAACTGTACAGACACTGGTATACATGATTTTTCCCATATCTGGAGCAGGAAGCTTGATGTGAACAGGACTTGCAATTCTTTGGCAGTTAAGACCAAAAGATGCTTCTGAACAAGTTACAACCTCCATGATTGAGCATAATTAAAACTATAGTGCAATTTCAGTTTTAGGAAAGAAGTCAGGCTTTGGTAGCTTTGCTATTTTTTAATGTGGTACACTCTTGTGCAATACCTCTTTCATTTTTCACAAACACTGAGTAATGTTGAGTAAAGGAACACTGTCATTTTCTTGAAGAAACTACATTCCTTCCTTTGCAAAAACCTCATTGTAATAAAAGAATCTTACTCTCTATATCTCCTTACACTTTCTAGCACCCATAAAAACATCTAATTGCTTATGCTGACCACAATGTATAATCTCTTTGTCCTATGAATGTGAAATCTCCTTCAATTAATTTCATAATCAATTTAAAATATTTTTCTCTTTATTGCATTCCGCAGATAATAAAATCCTAATTAAACACATCACCTGAGCACCTATAAATAAACAGGTTTTTTTCAGCATTGCTGGCATAGCTCACATGAACAAGCATTTTGTGAATGGAAGAATGGGGTGCTTGAATGAAATAACCTCTTGCACAATGAAATAATCTCTTGCACAAGCTTGCCCTTGTGCCAAGTCCTTTATTGGGTTTCCATGATTCCAGTAATGAACTGTCTGGGACATTTAAACAAAAGGTCTCTACTAATATCAGGTTCTTTAGTGTCTCTGCACAACCTCTTACAGCTGTTATGATGGGATTACTGCTCCTGGGAAGCTTCTTTGAACAGCTGCACTCCTGTCCACTTGCACCTTACCACCCTGATACTTCATCATTGAAACTTTTTCTCCTTAAGTACTGTCTTTGGTCAGAAGCAAACATTTTCTTTTAATCTTTAAACTACAGCTTCTGACTCCTACTCTTAGTTGTCTTTCAGAGAGAGAAAAAAAAAAAAAAAGCCATAAAATTAGTCTCAAAGGGCAGGAAAACCTGAAGAAAAGGGACCATAAAGACTCAAATACTAAATGAAAACAATCCAGTGGATTTACTCTCCTTCTCCCTAACACAGGCTTCAGCCAGTCTCAGGACTGTCTACATGAGAGACCTCCAGAGAAACATCTGGCTTACTACATGGAGACAATTATTTTGAGAGCTACATGAACAGGGGCTTAAAAACATTTGCCACAGAATAAAAAAAAGTCAAGAACTGGATGTGGCGGGAAATCAAGAGGCAATCAAATTTTTTTAGTAGATAGGCTTCAAATACTTTTTAACAGAGATGTCATATTTTGGCTGCAGATACTTGACAGTGTCCCTTTACCTTACATTTGGCATGTTAAGAAAGACATCCCAGTAAAATTAGTATTCTAAGTAAACAACAGCAAAATGTTTTTAAAAACCACACCTAAAAGCTTAAAAGAAAACTGCAGCAGACTTCAGTAACAGCTCAGTGAAATTGCATAGCATATGGTACACAGTACTCCATTTTTAAGCAATAAATAATTTCTTCTTGCCTAATTAAATATAAAACATAGCTTCTAGACTGAAATATGCTGTAATTCATGAACCATTTATTGCTGTTCATTGCCCACTTCAGTCTCTCGTCCATCTCATTTTCATGCACACAACCACTGCAGCCTTCAGGAGCCTGCCCCTTCCACTGACCACTCTGCCTGGCAGAGGGTTGGGAGCACACCACCACCACGGGGAAAAAGGCAGCGGAAGGCAAGGGAACACTGTTGATGAGTCAGAGACCGAAATCCTAGGTGCTCCATGAAAAGTAGTCATTCTTTCACAATCTGTTTCAGGATTACTGTATTATGGATTGTTAACAACTGGAACAAATGATGAGCAACCTTTAGCTTTAACTGCATTTATTTTCTTTTCTATGATCAGAATTTTCCCTCTGCCACAGCTGCTCCTGTGTAAATGTCCAACACTTGCTTTGTGAGCTCCACCTTTTAAACAATCAGTCCTTTGGGGTGGGAGATTCCTTATGAGGATTGTACTGGCAAAACATAAACACCAGCTGGCCTCTCCTGACCACCTTCCCTAGCTGAGCTCATTCCTCCAATTCCCTCTCCTTGCTTTTATAAGTTTGCCCCTTTCCTCTCCCCAAACCATTTTCTTCAGTTTATGCTTGCCCTTTTTTCTTCTTTCCCCTCATGCTTTATTTTCTGTCTCCCACCATGACCCCTGTATGACAGTTACAGCTGCTACCAAATCTCTGCAGGGTTCCTCACAGGTTTTGCTGGTCTTCTACTAACTGCTGCACTAAAACCCTCCAGGTCTGAGGTTTACTAGGAAAACAGTAACATGAGAAATCAGACACACTTAAATTATGAGGAGGGCTGGTTGGGAGAAAGAATTTTTCTTCTTTCTCCTGCCAAATGTTTTGCCATTCTATTGGAAGACAGGTTTTTTGGTGGGATTTTTTTTTTTTTTTTTTGTACAGAAAAATCCACTTTTGGGTATTTGACAAAAAGCTGAAATTCTATATGGAAAGCAGATGGATTGCATAAAAGTTTTGCATAAGTGAGATATATAAGCAAGAACCCAGTCTTCCCTTAAAGGGCAGTGTTAACAGCCCCCAAATCTGAGATGGAAAGTTAACAGGTGGTTAGGGCAATTGCAAGGCTTAGGAAAGGGACAGAATGCACTAACACCACTGGGTGGAGAGCTCACCAGGCCTGGATATGCATTCTGCTTTGGATGGACATTTTGAGACCCATTTAAACATTATTGCTGCCTTCCATGTGGTCTAGAGAGAGAGACGCTGCTGATCTCCCCAGAAATTGTGCTTTCCTGTGAATGCTAAGGTGCTAAGGCAGGAAAAAGGAATGCTCCTCTTCCCAATACCACCCGGTGAGCAGTACTTTATTCCACAGGGTGAATAAATGTTCTGCGTTCTGCCACTGGTGCTCACTGTAGGAACTGGGTTCCATGGGCCAACATACAAAGTACAGTGAGCCAAAGTGAAAGGAGTTGCTGCTTTGTGTTTATTATTTTGTAACCAGCATTCAGTGCCAAAGCATTGGAAAAAGCCAGTTAAGACTTGCCAAATCTTAGCCCAAAATGTATAAAACTCCTAAGGTTTGCTGCTTATAAAACTTGGAAAAGATAAAAAATTCTAGATGGATTACAATAATTGTGAAGACTGAAGTATTGCATAATTGCTGCTCTGACTGTAAGAGCAGTATAGCAGAACATAGATGGTTATGTTTACACCTCAGTGAAGAGGTCAAAAATATGCATTTTTCTTTAAATTTCCTTTTGAAGGATATTTCTGGAAGAAAAATAGCTCAATTTTCAGCAGAGAATTTCAGTTTGCATTTAGATACCCCCACACTTATTTTTCTCCTCACTGAAAAAAAATTGGTTATTATTGACCTGTTAAACCACACAACATGGCTTTTCAGCAATCTGTACACAGTACAGAACCATTAGTGTTCCTGAAAAGGTTTCTGTTTTTAGTGTACACATCTCCTCTTAAGTGCATTAGAACTATTGCATAGTTTCAAAGTCTTCAAACACAGTGGTAATCAGAATGCTTATACATGTACATAAATAATATCATATCTTAAAAATTTAATTAAAAATACACAGTAAAGGCTATGGAAAATCACTTCCATCATAGATGACAGGTCGCTCAACAGCCAAGTGATAAAACACTCTTTTTGAGATAAACCTGTTAAGGAAAGAAAGAGAGCAAAAAGATCATGTTAGCTGAGGCCAACAAAGAGGGGAAGCCTTAAAAGTGTATACAGTTTTTCAATTTACTGTTGTCAAAAAGAAGTATGCCTGCACAAGGGCCGTCAGGTTTGTTGTTAAAAAGATGACAATCCGGACTAAACTTGGAATGAGTCACAAATGACTTGACTTGCTTAGTTTCTGTTAACCCTCCCAGAGGTTCAGAAAGAAGAGTGGAATTCTGCTGTGGGGGTAGGAAAAAAACCCAAACAAGAAAAAGAACGAAAACTCAGCCTTGAAGACCTCTTGGCAAGGAAAATTTTCTTATACTTACTTCCGAGTGGCAGAATAATGGTACATCTGATCAGTTCCACAGCCTATAAAACCAAGTTTATTTCACCTTTTATGCCTGGCTAGGACCTACCTAGAGAATGTGTTGTCAAATATCAGCGTATAGATTCCAGCGTTTCTGACTTTCACCTGTCCACTGATAGTTTCCTTATGAGAGTTGCAGCGAGTCATAGGGATAAGAACCTGGAATTCAATACAAATCAAAATGAAGCTTGCTATCTGCCCTATAAATTGGCATTTCCTTTCAGAAAACCTTGATTTCAGCCACCTTGAAACTCTCAAAGTGCATCTATGCCTGTAAAAAGAATTATTCTAACTGATTAGCATTAAAAACTCACCCAAAATAAAATCTCACAGTAAGACATCTGTTTTCCTTGGATTATATCTTTACAGCACTAACCTATGGCTATTAATCTCTGCTTTAGAGATAGAATCAGATCCTGAAGTTTTAAATGTTAATCTAAGAAACTTCAATAACTTAATCAAGTGGTACATTAAATCCATATATCCAAGAGCAGGATTTAGCTAAATATATATTTTAATATGTTTTTATATTACCTGTGTTATAAAATAAGCTTTCTCAGCAAATCTCAATTTTTTATCTGAGCTTACAGCAAAAGTGTGTGTATCTGTGGTTCTATGTGTGTTTTGCTGTAAAATCCTAGCACAGCTGCCGTAAGAGCAGCTGACATAGATCAAGGATGACCCTATAAAACACAAAGTTTTACCAAAGAAATATATCAAGACAAAAGCAGCATTCATACTTCATTCAGCTTTCAGATTAAGAAAAATAGATATTTCACATGGAGCTAATAACCTTGCAGTGAATTAACACAAACTATATAAATGTCTTATTCCCCCAGTAAATCACAGCCATAGAGTTCACCCTACCACGGTGGATTAAACCAACAGCTGCCTTGTGTTCAGCAAAACTTTGCAATTAGTTGAGTAAAACAGATTCACTTAATCTGTAATTCTCATGAAATATGGATAGCACACATAAAACTGGTTACCTAGGCCACAGCCAAGAGATTTTACACATTAAGGGTACTTAAGTATATGCTTCATTGTAAGAAATGTAGCAAAGCAAGAAAGTTACCTGTTTCCCTGTGGCTTCTGCTCAAGGGCCTGGCAAAACCAGCCTTAAAGAGTTTACACACTAAGTGAAATTCAGACAAAAAGAGAATTTTGCAGACTTGGACATTCAATTTTGATTAATAATACTGGGTGAGTTTCAGATGCAACCAATAGAACCTACAGGGCTTTTCAACTCAACTTTTGCAGGCAACATTAAAGATGTAGCTTTGCCTTTATCAGAACTGCAGCTTAACTGGAGAAACAAATCCTTAATGCTTAGCAACTGGCATTCTGGTGAAGACCTCGTAGCAATACTTGTCAATTCCTGCAGCTTGGATGAGTGTAGAGCAGTACAGTCTCTAAAGTAGTAAGGAGACAAAGGCCTTACTTTGCACTGATCCAGCGGTGTGTCTTCAGACTCTTGGTAAACAACACTGAAGGATATGCTTTTGGGGTCTGATGAGAAGATCCAGCTGATTGTTAGTCCCATCTCTGTAACAGTGATGGGAATGATACTATAGGTGCTGGATTTGATGAACAGCTCCCTGTTGCTTTCTCCAAAATTCATGATCTCTTCTACTGTAAGGGGTAATTTATTCCTGTGAGGGAGAAATATATGATTACTTGAAGAGATACAATCCACTTACTCAGACAAAACCACTAATCACTGATTTTTATTTTCTATCTATTTTGGGTAGACTCCACAGTGTATTTGGGACATGTCCACAAGACGCATAAAAATTCATCCTCAGATGAAGGTAAAACCTACAAAAAAGCTGACTGATATTAAGAACCCTCACTGCTCTGGCACAAGTGGTTTTGTTCACTTATTGATTTCATTTCAACTGAAGAAAACCAGCGCTGAAATAAAGCTTTTTAGAGTTACTACAGATAAGAAAAGAGTTCTGCTCTCTACTGTTCTTTTAAAACAAAAAGTAAGTGACCTGGTTTATTCATCTTCCTAGCTGAATCTAAAAATTTGCACAGGAAACAGGAAGGATCAGAGTTCAGAGGGGACAGGTGGATGGATTGTGAACAGCAGCTCTGTTCTGAACCGCTTAACAGTACATGTGTGTCTGTTTTACCCAACCAAGATGCAAAAATCTGACTCAAAATACTTCCAGTTAAAAAGGAAATTCTTAGCATCTGGATGATGCAGAGTCCTACAGCATTAAATGAGCTGACTTCATTCTAGATCTGTTTAAGACTGTCATCAGTGAGGCCCTGAAGCAGAAGAACACTGGTCACTTTCCGGTGTAATTTCTAAGATCCATGGGATCTTACCTACATTACCCTAACTAAAACTAATCTCATCTGTCACTTTTCAGGCCAAATAAACTGTTTGCAAATCAATGAGATTAGAGTAAGCCACAGTCCTGTCGTGTCTCAGATGACCTTTGATTTTAATAAAATAAATATCATTCTTGGTTTTGCCTTACAGCCCAGCTATGATTCTAGTTACTGCTTCATTTACCTGGATCTCTGAACAGCAGCAACAAGGTTGAAACATGAACTGACTTAGCTCCTTGCAGTCCAAAGTTTAAAACCTTTCCCATAACTAAGGCAAAATTTCAAAGCTAGGTTTAAGGGGAAAGTGAGCAAAGGTGAATTTCTCTAAGTCATGTGCATTTCCACACATTGGATTCCACTGTTGGCTGTGCAAGAGACATGCTGTATCAGTACTGCATGTAACTAGGAATTTCAGAACAGGACATATGCAGAGAATTGTCCTGCACAGATCTTGAGCTGAGGCTTAGACAAACATTTTATACTATGGCATGTATCAACCAGAGCAAGCAAAACAGATTCTGTGAAGCCACTGATAAATAACAGATATGTGCTCCAAAAGGCCATGAATTCCATCCCTTTGGCAAAGGTCTGATTAGAGCTGCATTCCCTGACTTGCCCTTGCAGTTTCTTTCAGAGACTGCTAGAACTGCACAGCCTTCTCTCTAAACCCCCTTCATGTTGACAGCAATTCCTGCAATAAAAATAGGAAATGTTTTCTCATGTGATGTGGACCTACATCTTTCGTTCTTATTTCCCAGTTGCACTGAAGTTTTCTAGGACTGAAGAGAGAGGACCTGGCTCATTGCTGCTGCTCTGCATAGTCAAGTTACACCCTCTCATCCTCCCCAAACCAAATTCTACTATGGGACACAAGTGAACAGCTCTTCCAGGAGCCTGCAAGGCTTGTGCTCACATAGCTGGTATCTCAGCCTTTATGCTTTCACCTATAGCAATGAAATTGTTCTGCTTACATAATTTCTCCTGATTTCAACAAGCATATCTCAGCATCTTGAGCAACTTGCCAGTCTTCGGATTCATCGAAAGTTGAAGAATTACACGTGCTGTTTCTAGAACACGGAAAAGAAAGAAAATCATGATTCTCTGAGTAGTAATCAAATATGATCTGCATGCTGATGCCTTCCTAAAATAGAAATGCTTTGACAGTCCTGGTACCAAATTCTAGGATTCTTAGTGAAAAATCTGGGCAAAACCGCAGCCCCCTTCTTCTCATCACTGCACAAACGTAAAATTGTTTTTATACTGGTTTCATGAGCTAAGAGGAATACATATATACACCTAGAAAATCTTTCCTGCAATCATAACATAAATTTCTTATTGAGACAATGACAGGTTTTGAAGATTCTCTAGTAGGTAGGAACTTGAGCGGCAGACACAAGCAAAACAGTCTGCACTTGTCCCTTAAACAAAGCTTGCAAAAGGATAAGACATCTCCATGGATTTAATCTGGGAGGTTATTATCCAGTTCCTTACTCTGACAATGTACACAAAACATATTCTATTGCTGTAGAATTGCTACCATGTGTCTTCTTTTACAAAAAAAATTTACAAAAAATACTGCACCATTCAAACACAAATACACCAAAGGTACTGTTACAAGATGACAAAGCAGGATGCTTCCTCCACACCATGATGTATCCTGTGAGCAGTGAACCTCAAAAAAGGTGTATGCTCTGGGTGAACACTGGAGTAGCACCAGCTATGAATTACAGGGCTGGACACAGAGAGAAGGATGAGTCTGAGAGTCAGGAAACAAACGCTTATAGTTTCCAAGTAAATTAGAGCTTCTCTGACTGATTCTTGTTTTGTTTCTCCACATTCCAGCAGTTTGAGACAGTTAAGCTATCCCAGAAAAAAATGCCAAGGATTCTTATTTACAGGGAACCAGCTAGTTGGTTCCTTCCAAAAACCAGTGGAATCTAATAAAATATGTGCTTCTGAACCATTAAGTGCAGTAATGCCCTTGATGGGCATAATTGCCACACCTGCTGTAGATCAATTCTCAAAATTGATGCACAGTTTAACATTTTCTTTTAAATCCAATGGGACATTGTTCTACAAGCAGCACTGCTGAGCAGAAGAGCATGAGAAAATATCTCCTTTAGGTAGTTATGAGCAGCATCTGAATATACTGTGTCAACACCCTGCAATTACATGTCAGTTTAGTGTAGTGACATTATTGTTTGGAAACAGGACAAATTTACTGTTATGACTGCAAATTAAACTGCACCCACTGTCTATACATTTCCTGAACTGTTATCTCAATATTCCTGTTCTTTTATTCTTGCAGTGTCTTGGATAATTCTTGACTTCTTTAGTAACACCACTACTGTTAATACCCTAAAGAGACAGCTGGGATGTGCATGGGAGACTCGAAGCTGTAATTAAGTGCCAAAACCTGAGCTGTAACCAGAATTGTATAAGGAATGTAAGAATCAAGTACTTATTACAAGCTGGGCCATAAAGGTTAGTACAACATCTGTGCAAACACTGATACAAATAATTTCATTGTTAACTATCTTTATACAACCAGGTAAGAAAACTGATTCTGAAAAAAAAAAACAAAACAACAAACTAGAAAACTAAACCATAGCTTGTAAACCTACACAAACATTTTGCTCGCACAGTGGGAACAGCAACCGGCTTCATGCTGTAATCCACTTAAGTCTCCCATCCCACCACAGCTACACAGCTTTAATTTCACAGCCTTGAACTAATGCAGAGCAAGAGAACTACACGATTACTGGCCTTCCAGAAGTGTCAAACTCCATGATTTACTACACGATGCCATTAGAATTCTTGATTTAGTCCATTAATTTCATCTTTCATTCGGAAACCTGAAATGTAGATTAAATCCCAGGACCAATATATGTTCATGTTCTCCTCTAACACATGATTTTGCTTATTCCTTTCTGCTGCAACCCAGTACATGGTTAGGAGATACCTTGCCACTTGGCTGTTCCAAACAATACATTCATCACACATCTAAGGCTAAGGGAATGCTACATCTCCTAATTTGTGCATTAAACCAAAGTGCCTTATAAACACAAAGAAAATCCTCCTTCTCTTTATGATATCTCACTGAGTCTAACAGTCTAAACTAAGGTCTGGTAGGCTATAATAAAAGAAACAGTATCATGATTCAACTGGAGCATTTTCCCTCTGACATAAGAATTTATTCTTGCATGACCCATTCACCCTTTGTGTTAGCACTAGGGATGTTCCTACAGCTTGCCAGGTGCCCAGATTATGAATATGCAGCCTCTGGTGTATCTATTTAAACAGTCTATATTCTTACACTTCTTCCTCTTTTTAAAAGTGAAATGAAGTGGGGCTAAAAGCAGAAAGAACTGAAACATGGAAAAGACACTACAGCAAGAAGAGAACAGCTCTGATTCAGCAAAGCCTCAAGACACAGATTGTTGGAAGCTGATAGACCATTGTGAAAAATTATTGCTTCATGCTTGTCTTGTTCTTATGCACTTCCTCAGGCACCTGCTGTTGGTCTCTGTCTCTAAGGTGCATGGCCTTGTCCACTGTGCCTGTTCTTATACATAAAAAGCATTTCTTACATATGATACTAAAAATACTGTGGCCAACATCATAAATGGCTTGGGGAGCTAAAAGTTAGAAGTCACTTTTAGATTAAAACCTGAAAAAAGATGGTTCAAATGTAGACTCAGCAATTTTCTGTCTTCATAAACACCTTAGCTCTGATAGCTGTAGCTATATGTCAGAGGTGTTGGCTTCAGGTGGCTGAGCAGTGAAATCCCAGAAGCCATCTGCCTGTCAGCAGTGCATTGATTTCTGGAGAGAACTTCTGTCATCCAGGTGAGAGTCTTACCGAATTGTGTGAAAGGCAGAAACCTGAAACGGAGACTGGAGGCTGTACAGAGCCCCTAACAGCTGCTTAGCCCAGCAAACACATCTGAAAATGCAAAGAAACAATCAAAGGCATTATGCTGAAGTGCACCAATGATTCCCTGGGCCTGCTGTTATCTAGCAGGTCAGACCCACCCCAGGCACCCTAACTTATTTAGCCTTCCTCTCCAACCCAACAAAGAGCAGTAAAAATAGAAAGAGAACAGTAAAGGATCAGAAGAAAGGATACCACAGATGGCCCTTGATAAGAAAGAGGCATCATTTGGGATGGAGCAAGGGGGATACAAAGCTCACTGAGTTTTTAACAGGGTGCAAGACAGTGTCTTGCATGAAGGGGTATGGGTGGGAAAGGGATGGAAGTGTTAAGGGTAAATCCTGACATACATTGAGATGGGGAAGGGTCACACAGACAATTGCAAAGCTACACAGAAAAAGATGGATGGAGATGAAGATCCATCACTGTGTGCTGAGTGAGATGCGTACTGCTATAAATGAAATCCCAGCTATTTCTCAAAAAAGCATGTATGACTTAGCTATACTACATCCTGTATGAAACAAAGAAAAACAACCAACAAATAATACAAAAGGACTCCCCAGCCTTAAAACTGGTAACACTCTATCTTCAAGATGAGACAATACAGAGAAAGCAAGCTAGGGAAAGCATCATGATAAAGGAATATTTCTGTGTTTCAAGTGACAACATGCAAAATATTTTTTTAATATTTTTGTTTGTTTTTTTTATGGTGATAAGGAAGACATTTGGCAAAGGCTCTGAGATGAAGATAGCTTTTAAACATTGCATTTGGAAAGTGTTCAGAACAAGCAACTAGGGATTACCAGGGTGGTTTCAAGTCCCCTTCCCAGCAGGAGGCAGCAAACAGACAACTGGAAATCAACACTAAAACTACTGACAAGCTGCTGCCAGTGTAGCCCAAATACTGCAGCCTGTAGATCACCAGGGCTACAGTCACCTCTGTGGGTAATACTAGCTAAGATACCTTTGAATTTTCTTTTCACACAGTTCTTTAGAGGCTGTTAAGAGAAACTGAAGCAGAATTATAGGACAGATATAGCAGAAGCAGTTTCTGGCCTGAGTTTACACCAATATCCACCAGGAGCCCCTGCTCCTTTCAGCGGAGCTGCTGCCCAGCCCTCCCTGCAAAGCCTGTAGCTCCACAGAGGTTGCTCCATCCCAGAGCCTGCAGGTTCCCTGCAGCCAGGGTGCTTTCAGCACCCAGGGTCCTTCACAGCTTTACAATCAAATGTTCTTCATACTGACTGTTATGTGTAGTAGATATAATTTGCGCCATTTCTAATATGATATATGTGATATTGAATATTTGTTAGAGTATACATGTTTGTATTAGAATTCCCCCCCCCCCCCCCCCCCCACCTTCACAGGCGCAGGTGAGACCGGGTGTAGATTGGAAACTGATTTACAAGTAAGAAGGTACCGCTGGCCAGGAGATGGGCCATGTCTGGGGAGATACAGAAACCCCAGGTGCTGATCGTTCGCGTAAACGACCCGAGATGGATATCATGGAAATCCTGAGGCAGATACATGTGAATACAGCGTTCCCGAATTCCCGTAAATTTCATCAAGGGATTCAACAAACTCCGGACACTGAATTGTTCTCCCTCATCACCAAAAAAGAAAATCTTATTATCATATGGACTCTGAATAGAAGAAAAGACTGATTGCTGAAATCTTGGCCTCAGGCGGAATTTTCACTATAAAAACCGCTTGTGCCAGGATGGAGGTGTGTGGGCATAGAGGAAAACCTCTGCTGAGGCTGACCTCTTTGTTGCACACCCAGGGCCGACCCCGGGCTCGGCTCTGTTCTTTCCTTGTGGCTGGCTAGATAAAATTTGATTGCAAAATAAATATTTTATTTTTCATATTAATTTGGGTGGACAAATTTTCATTTATAACACTGACCCATCCAGGAGTAACAGCTACTCTCTCAGCCCACTCCCTATAAGGGATAAATTCACACAACCCGTATGTTACCACATAGCTTAGCCACTGCTGTGTCATCCTCATACCTTATTCTGCATCTGAAAATAACTGATAAAAGCTGCTCCCCTGTTTGACAGGAACAGTCTGCGAATATTTAGCACCTTGCTCCCAGTTTGCTACTTAGACGTAGAGAAAGTGCTACCACATGCAATGAAGCACAAGGGAGAACTGTTTTTAAAGAGCATTACACAGCCTTACATTTCTCGTGTCAGTAGTGTTCTTTCAATAAATGATGCTGCAGAAGTAAGTCAAATCGGCGCTGTTTTTCTTTATATGCATTTGCAGGTACCAAACTCAAGTAGTGAGAGATACAAGTTCACTGCTCTACAAGTCAGAGTCCCAGAAGCACTCCAGCTATGGCAGCACAGGCTGCTGCAAAGATCTGCCTGCATGAGCTCGTTTCTCTCAATAGTGTTGCCCTCTCTTGCAGAACCAAGGGATACTCAAACTGCTGTACATTAGAACTCACTGGGTGAGGCCTTTCAGCCAATCTTGAATCAGAGGCGAGTTCTGCTAATCTTATCTTACAAAAGATTTAATTTACCAGGTAAACAGCTTGCAAAGATCACTAATCTTAGGGCTGTTACTTTTATGTTCTGGCAACAGCCCTGACTGCAGGGCTGTTGAGTTAAGGAGAGGCTTAAGGAGTTAAGCCTCTCCTTAACTTGGAGAGCTGACACTGCAAAACCCAGCCACAGCTGAGAGAGAGTGTGATGGAAGGGGCTGACAGAGAATTGGTCACTCCTCCCTCTGAGAGTAATACAACTGTAGTGCATTAACAAAAATCCTCCATGTTTCAGTAAGTCACTTGAAATGGGGAAAGGAAGAAATGCCACCATTTGATGATGTGACTGACATCTAAAGAACAAGATGAGGCTTAACTGAAACACAAGTTCTGAAGTACTCAAACCTTGCCTTTTGGGACAGGTCCAACCAAAGCCAAACAACTCTGATGCTCAGAGTCTGCAAACTGAGCCTAAATGGTAAATTTAGCAAAACAAATTTTATTTCTCTCATCGGTTTCCCCAGAAACCTCAATCCAAGCACCAAATCACTGATGTATTAGAAAGCTTAATCCCTTACTGTTTTCAGAAGCCTCTTTGTAATTGTCTTTTGAGTATGCTTTTGAGTCTCCATCAGTAAAAATCTGGTAACAGATGATGTATTCAAATCTACCAGCTGTTGTGTTTGGGTCTTGAATGTCAAGACAATCCTCTTCAGCAAATAAATAGATTCGCTTCTGTCTGTCATGGATGCTTTACTACAACTCTTATCTGTTAGCACTTAGGATTTTGTCTGTCTCCTGGATGCATTAGGATTTAATTATTTGCTGAGTAAAAAAATTTCAGTATGTCTCCTTCCAGGCTGCCTTTAAAAAGAAGGCAACATGGCAACTACAATATAGCGCTAACTTTCATTATAACTTCTCCATCCCTGGTCCCTATGAAAACAGAAATGAGAATTTTCATATTAATAACAGTCTTCCTGCCATATATGTATTTTGCTGTTTTCATCCTTGGCCTAGCAGGAAATGCACTGGTCTTTGTCATACTAAGTTTCTATATGAAACTAAAGACACTGACAGAAATTGATGGTACTTTTGCTGAATACTGATGGTACTATAGCTGACTGGGCTTTTCTTTGGATGCTGCCCTCTGGGCATACTCTGCTGCTCAGGAGTGGACTCCAGGCACTGTGGCATGTCATATTTATATGGGGCTTGTATGCACTTCAATGTTAACTCTAATGTCAATCACCTGTGACCAGCTTATTGCTGTTACTTTTGTCACCAAAGTACATGTGTTAAACCAAACAAATGACATGGGGAAAATTAATCTCTGTCTTGATCTGAGTGATCTCACAAGCATTTGCTGCAACACACTTTGGTTTTTGGGAGGTGTCAATTTTGATAAAGTAATATGTCAGGAAGAATACCCAAACTATCACAGAGAATGGTTCCTGAAGAGATCCAACTGACTCTTGCTTATTTTATTCCCATGCTAGCCATGATCATCTGCTACTCACCAATTATTAAAACCTTACTGTGTGCTAGAAGTCTTCAAAAGAACAAATCTATAAAAATATTTTCTGTAGTTGTCCTGTTTATTCTTACCCATATACCCTATACTTTCTTCAGATTGCTAAAAATCATAGACTGGAGCTTTAAATTGAACAGCAGCTTTGAATATGCAATTACCATAAGAAAAGCTCTTGCTTATTTTTATTCCTGTCTTAACTTTCTATTTCTTCACGGGAACGAAAATCAGGAAGTGCTAACACAAAGTTATTAAAAAAATCAAGATATGCCAAATGGCAAGGTACAGCTCAACAGTGGCAAACCACCAAAGAGGAAGACTCTAAATGTTTTACTGCTTTATATAGTGCAGATGCCACAAGCATCTGCTCACTATATATGTACTCACTATAAAAATGCCTAGAAAATCTGGCAACTATTTTACAGCTTGTTTGTAAATACTGATGTAGGGAGTCTGAGTGAAAGAGGAAATACCATTAGTAAAAACACTGTGATCAGCTTAGAACCAACCTATTTTCATCATACTTCATTGCTTCCTGCTTTTTCAGTCCAATTTGGTAACTGAGTTAACAGTGCAGAAGATCTTCCAAAAGTATAAAAAACAATGAGATAAAACTCCAATTTTCATGACATGAAACAAAGGTAATTTAAATTTCCTGACTCCCAAACCTCTGGCCTGCTGGTTTTCTATGAATGGTGTTTGTTAATGAAAGCTTTTATGAATTGTTTCAAATATATTACGTATTTTAGTTCAGCCCATTCATTTAATGAGAATTCCTGAATTTTAAACATATATATTTCAATCTTAATGCTGGGTTTCATGTGTGGTTGGGTTTTTTTGGATATTTTGGGCTTTTTTTTCCATCTAGGACAAGGTCTGTATGCAAAATCCTTTAGCATTCATCTAAAATTTCTGTAATAAAGCAGCATTTTCATCTGCCTTTCACCTACTATCAGGTTCACAGCCTGAATGTCCCATACACATCTTTGTATCTTATATCTGATAACAGAGCTCATGTTGCCAGATTACCAGCCCCCTTGTGAACACCAGGAATATCGTATCACACACACATGGGCTCCAACACTGAGCTGTGTTTCTGTACATGCAAACTCTTACATCCTGATTCTCCACACATTCTTTGCATCATGACATCTTTCCAGTCTGTTTTTCCTGGTACATTGGTTCCCTTGTCATGAAACTGTGGATTCCTTAGTTGTTTTCCAACTTTGTTCCACCAGTTCTCCCTTTCCACCTCCGGTCTTTTCACTTCCCAGTTGGAGGGGAAAAAAATGTGGAGGGGACAGAAAGTGTGCAAAAGCTCTTGCACGAAGTAGTAGAGCAGGTGTGGAGACTGGAACAGGGAAAAAGAAAGAAGGGATGTTGCAGAGGAGTCAAGAGAGGACTTTATGCAGCTATGGGCTGCTTGCAATAAAGGCAGGGTTGGGTCTGGCCCAAAGGGTTAAAGCCTTCTGCATTACAGCTTTGAAATACCAATTTTAACTGCTTCTAACCATTCTTGAAAAAAACACACTCTATGGATGCTCCTTTACGCCCCATTAATACCCAGGCCTTCCTATCAGAGCACTGCAGCTCAGAGGAACCTGACCCTTTTTGGCAGCAGTGTGCCCATCTCACCACTTTTCCCTTTAGGAATCAGCTCCTTAGGCAATCCTTTCCTCAGTACACAATCTCTTTTTTCTCCCACAGTGAAATATCCTTAAAATCAAAGCTACAAAGCAAGATGGTGTCACTGCATGTATAAAGGTGCCATCTCAACACACAGCTGCAATGCAGGCTTTGCCAGCATAGGGTGGCAAGAGGTGTTTCCGTCCCCTCTCCTTCCTGGTTGGTTCTGCACTGGGCAGGGAACGCTTCAGACCACATTCACTTCCCCTTTTCGGCTACACTGCACCCTGCCCGGCCACGTCAGCTGTAATTAGGCCAGCAAAGAGTGTTATGAGTCATCAAGATAAAAAACAATCCAAACCAAAGCAACCACTGTGCAGACAGGCTGAGATGTTCTTTCTACCACTACCAAGGTGTGAATAAACTCTTTGTTCCTGTACCAGGCTTTGGGGTTTTTTCACTCTTTGGGTTTTCTCACTCTTCTGCTGTCTACGATCTTGATTTTGCTGCTGCAACATTTATTGCAGGCATGTTATGCCTACAACACATAAAAATGAAAACACAGTGCACTGGTTTATCCTGGAGCCCTTTGTTTTAGAGTACAATATGCAAATGTGAATGCTTTAGAAATAAGACTTCAAAACCACAACACTTCAAAAGAAAACCCATATGCCTTGAAGTAGCAGGATGTATCACAATGGCACAATTAATCTCAGCTTCTCACATTCAAGATTTTCATCAGGTTGGTCCAAACGCACATAACAAACCTGAAAGGATGAACTAACTGTGGCTTAATCCTAACCTTTAGGAAATAGCTACTTCAAGGTCAGCCCGAGTTATGCTAGTACAATCATCTCTCTTATTCTGCAACACGCTTCTGCAGTTGATGACTAAGGTGAGTTTTAATTGATTCTCAACTGACCTGCACCAATAAAGGCAGCCTCTCAAGATTTGCTGTTATGAAAGAATTTTGTTGTAATTGGTTCATGTCACTTCAAGGAAACAACAACAGTGGCAGGGCTAAGTGAAGAGACCAAGTGAAAAATAGAGTAAAAGTACAGTAAGGCACCAAAAGGGGGAAAATAGGAACAGGAATGTCTTTTAAGATAATTCACTACTTTGAGGACCAACTTGCATTTTCAGTCCAGCAAGCACTCACGCCTAGTATTCTAGGTATAGTCAGTGTGAAAAATCTCTGCTGTCAGCCAGAGCGAGATCATAAGAAACTACGCCAATAGAGCATGTCAGTTGCATATCTTCTCCTTGGACAACAAGTCGCCCTTCCCTTCCCTCTCCTGGCTGCTCATCTCTTTCATTTTTAGAGCTTCACCAGCTCGTTCAAACCTTTGGCAAAACCAAAATAGCTTGGATTATTTTCAGCAGATCTCAATAAAGAAGTTTAGCCTGAAAGCTGACTTATTTCTATGCCTTCCTCAGACCTGCATCTAGCAACCACAATCTTGGATCTTTTGTGTGCTCCTCAGACACTATATCTAAGCAAATTCTACTTCAAATATTCAATTTCATGCAAAGAGAACATTATTGGAATGCCAGTGGAGACTATTTGAAGTTTCCACCTAGAAATAGGTCACATTTAGCTGGACAATTTAAAAAGAAAAATAATTAAGATGATAAGTCTACATGAAATTCAAGGTGGTCAGCCCAGTACAGCCAAGAAATCTGCAGCAATCAAACCAGTAGCTCAGAAAGTCACTGAACTGAAGGTCCCTGAAGTGTGGGAGACAACACAGTGGAAAATTTTCAGTACATCTCTCGTGGGCTGCTGTCAAAGGCAGGACAGAGGATCAGCAGACAATACAGTGGCTCTGGCACATTTACTCACAAACAACCGAGGTATCTCATGCTGCAATTCCTGCTCCTTCCTGTGCTAAATGAAACTCAAGCTTTGGTTACACGTGTACTCCTCACCACAGAAACAAGTGAGAAGACCTGTGTGCTGTCACAATCAGCACTGTGCCCTGCTATTTTTCTTTAACATGCACCACAGGCACCGCACCATCATCTGACTCATGAATCAATTTCTAGATCTCTCCCATAACACAAACCCACAATCAACAAGTCATCTGCAATGCAAGAAGGTCATTCTCCCCTCCAGTGCTCAGGCTCACTAGCCTGAACCTTCCAAACATTACAGGTGTCATGGGAACGGGCAGGTGTCATTTGTGCTCTCTGCAAAGAATGTCTCAAGTTCAAAGTACAGCCACAGGACTCTCTCACCTGCTCATGAAACTGCTAACAAAAAGCAACAGAGGATAAAGCACTATTTCCTGGTTCTCCTGCTTATAATCTCACAACAAGGGAAGCTGGACAACCTTTACAAGTTTACATGGTGCAAGTAAGTTGTTCCATGGGTGCTCTTCAAGAATAGTATCCTCTTGTTAGTGGCAATCCTTCTTCCTACCTGAATATTTTGTCAGACAAGATGAAATTAGACCTATCTCAAATGCAAACAAATGGTGACTCACGCTTATTTCTCTCTTCATGATTGTTTTCTCCAGAGCTAACTCACCTGTAATATACCTGCTGCAAATAGCCTGAATTAAAAGAAGTGTTACACTTCAATTTTCTTCATAAAAACAAACAAAAATTCCCCACCACGAACTGTCCTTTTGCAAAACAAAGGCAACACTAAATTCACAAGGGCACCGTGAAGCTGAGATCATTCATGTCTGCTCAGCACACAAAAAGCAGGAATACACTGTCAGCGTTAACTGTATACAAAGTAGGCAGAATACATTTAAGGTATTTACCAAGAAACAAATATGTAGAATTTTGAAAAGTCTTTTTACCAAATAAACAAGTCTGTACTGTCTGTCTTCAACCCAAACTGCAAGTCATTGTGGTTTATACCGGAAGTCTGTCTGTTGGGTGCAAGAGTCTAGGTCTGCTTTCTCAGCAGCAGACTATCTACTCTGTGACTATTTTCAGTTCAGCATTTAGATTTATCCTGTCTATTTATCTGCTTGGAAGGAAAGCAAGTACATAATTTAGGTGAAATTTCTCTTTTTTCTTCTCAAAAGACAATATATTTTAAAGAATGGAATTTTTGTAAAACATTTGAAAATATCTGAACAATAGTAAAACAATATTTTTGCCTAAAATAAATACAAATTAAACAAGTAATACTACAATGTCATTTGCAAACCAAGTATTTGAATATTCAGATGCCCTTAAATCCTTTTCATTGGTAATTTAAGTAGAAATAGATATTAAAAAAATTATTGAAATCTGCACTCACTCCCATTTTCTTCAAAAAGAAAACAAACTTGTGCCAGATGTAGCTACATAATTGTTCTTTTCTTCTGTAAGCTGTCATCTCTAAGGTAGTAAGGATGTCTAGAAACACAGAGAGTCTGAATGCTGACTTTAATAGTGACAGCTGGCGTGATGACAGCACAAAGCTGGCACTACTCCCCTGTGTTGTGGTGAAGCAGGTGGAGAGAGAGCATGGAGTGCTTTAGATTTACTAGATTGAATACTGACTGTGCAAATAGACTAAAATTATCTTGTGTTGTTCTACTGAACTTGTGGCCTGGGAACAGAGGTCTTCACTTTACACCAAAGATGTAAACTACTGTCAGTGAATGGGAAAAAAAAAGAACATTCTAAAGCCAATCCCAAAGAGTCCCCTCTTTGAGAAGTAGTGTTTACTCACAGATCTGTCACACTTTGATCCAGAGAGTCTCTCTCCATCTGACTTTCATTGTGCAGAGAATCTGATTCCTGTACTTGGCACAGCTCCTCATCAGTGATTATATCAAAAGCTGCATCATCTGGTGGTTTAGAGGCTTCACTTGCAACTATCCAAAAAAAAACATGAGAAGAAACATGAACACTATTAGCTGGTTGTCTGGAAAACAAACAAGCAAAACCCCTAAGGAGCGAGCCTGGGCCATTCCTCTTCATTAACAGAAGCATTAGATAACTATTAGAACTAATGGAAAATCTTGGTCTGACTGACACTCATTTAATATACATTAATGTTTCTCTCAGTATCAATCAAAGACAGGGTCAGTCCCACCCTGAAAGTTCTCCATGACCTCCTGCAAGTCATTGGAGCAGGAGGTGAACCGTACTTATTTCTCCACAGCATGCAAACAATAAACTAACCAAAAGCTCTCTCAGATGGTGAGACAGGTGATTCCAATGAAGCCGGTGATCCTTCCTGGTTGGCACTGGATCCAGAGTCATCTGTACTGTCCACAATGACTCTAGGCTTATTAAAGCAAGCTCTGCAGCAACGCTCCTTTTTTCCACCAAGCTTTGTCACCATGTAGTTATTGCAGCAGTAGTAGCAGAAAATGCGGCCACACATTCTAGAAATGATTCAAAACCAGAGGTGTTGGAAAAGTACCACACACAGCCGGAACATATCTCTGTGACAGGGGTTGGGGCTCTCTCATAATGGTCTTGTTTTCTGCAAAAGCATGAAAGCTACACCCATTGGCAGAACTTGTAACAGACCATGCTCCTTTCTGAAGTGAAGCAAGTCTTCTTGACAAGCACAGGACAGAAATTCACATTCACACTTTGCTACCTTAATAAGCAGATAAACCAGAAAAAACTAAAAATAATTAAAAAAAAAAGTTAAATAATCAAATGTCCACAAACACAAAATGCAAATAAATAATATTTATATTAAGTATGTAAGAAGAAAATTAACTTAATACTACACAGGCCAAATCTCACAGACAGGTAGAACAAAACTTGATTTGATTATAAGGACTTTAAAAACACATCTGTATGTCTCTGCTTCATAACGACCCCTCTTCCCTTCAGAAAGGAAAAGAATCCAGTATTGGATACATATGTGTACATTTTTTCCTCCTGCGCTCTCCCCTTTGAAACCTCATAGTATCAAACTTGCCAACTACTTTTTAACGAGCATTTTGAAATTTTAATGAATTAAAGCATCCATCAAGGATGATTACTACTCAGGAAATTTTAATGGTTTTGTTTTTCTTCATAATTTAAATCATTACTAGTTGAAGACACAAGAAGCTTTCAGAGACCTTAGCAGAAATGAGTAACTTAGAAGTTGTTATCCAAAATAACTTCACCATTCATTAATCCCTATAGAATGTTGTTTACCTTCATGCGAAATGGAAACAGTTCCAGTGCTTCCTTCTTTACTTACATGACAAATCAGGTCATGAGGATAAGGAACAGTAAAGAGCCAAACCAAACATATCACTAGGACCCTGAAATGTACCCATTTAAATACTTTTTAATAAACCTAGATTGGATAGTTAACACTAACAGTAGGGGAAATAATTTAATATCCACTTAAAAAAAAATTACTCTGCAATACTTAATTATGTCTGAACATATCTAGTGTAAGTAAACAAATTTAGAATTGCACAGCATGTTGAAACTTGCTCTGGAATACTTCCACCACAGTAGCAAAGCCATCCTAGTGAATATTGTGTAGAGCAAGAACAGAGCAGTGCACAATCCTTCAAAGAAACACACTATACAGGGTGTGATCATATTTGTTTCCAGAAATGAGAAACTAAGAGACTCCCCAAGTCAGAGTTACATTCAGATTTTGTATTAATACATGTCAAGGGACCATTCCAATCATGTCTTATCCTCTTGTAAGCTCATGTATTCTTTCAGCCTCTACAATGTCATGTATCAACAATTTTGATCACTGAACTGTGAACATTAAGAAATATTTCCTCCACATAGACAACCGTACCGAATTTTACTTTTGAACAGCGCAATACAGTTCAACAACTGACCTGCAGTGGTGTCGGCGCACCATCCACGAGAACTCTCTCTGGCAGTCCAGACAGTGATTAACTTCTGTGTCCCCCTGCCACCTCTGCTCTGCACTAAGCTTCTGCTGGAACTCCAGAGCATCAGACTTTTGCCACAAAGCATCCTTGTCTCTGCAATGACACAGTTAAAAGAAAGAAAAAATACATAGAAGTTGTCACAGTATTGGTTTATTGCTAACCAACCTCAACTGGAATGCTGATGAAAGCTTCACAGCAAAAATTCCTTTGCTCCTAAAATTCTGAGGAGCATTCAGACTATATAGATTTTGATCTATAAAGATAGATCAAAAAACTTACTGACGCTTCTGCAAAGACAGGGAGAAGAACACATGCCATGCAGAGAACTACATATTTTTTTCAAAACAGACAGCAAATTAAGGAGATAGTATTGAGTGTTACATTTTTGACTATATTATGGAAATGCAAAATTTCAACTGCTAATGAATTTGGCCTGTACTTTTATCTTCAAATTGGGAATATAAGCCGGGATGACCTAAGAAGTATCCCTGAACATCCTAAGCAAGGATTTTAATTTCTGCTTGCTGTTTATTTTGATGCCAACCTGATAAGTTCTATCAAACGTTCTTCAAGGAACTGCTTTGTTCTTGTCAGATCATCCAGCTCAGCAAATAACTTCTGGTCACTGCTATCTTTGTCTGCTGCCACCTTGCTGAGCTTCTCAGTGTAATCCAGGATCTTCTCTTTTGCTTCATCAGCTTCTTTTTGGATCCTGATACAAAAGCAATTATGAATAATTTTTAGCTCATGTAAATTTAAGTCTTCCCTGTGGAAGAAGGGCTCATCCACTCTGATGGATGGTACTTTCAGTGAAATTTTTCTCAGTGTGCATGTTTTTTAGAGCTAGACATAAATCTCCCCAGTTTTCTGCATCACTGAAAATGAACATAGATCCATTATCTAGTGAACACAGCCAGCAACCAGCAATTTCTTGGATGTCCTGCTTACAGTAAAGCTTATGATGGCTACCAACTAGGAATAACACATATGATGTCAGCACAAATATATAAAAATACATAGGCTTTGGTTAACTTATTGGACTCTGTGTGAGCTCACACCCCAGTGAGCGGCTGTAGATTTCTGACAGCCAGATTATCCCCACCACACAGGTCCATGTTACAGACCTTGAAAACACATCCTGAGTTAGATGATTAAAGCTGATAAGAAACTTGACAAAGACATGCAGGATATTGTCCCATTCAGGTAATTCTTACTGATTCCCTGAAACTTTGTGAAGAGGAGAGAAAAAACAAACTGTCCAAAAGTACCAGTTTTCCATTCCTTACAACAAACCCCCAATATTGTTTTAATGTTGTGATTAATTAGAGGCTATAAAAATGTCTTTCATGAACTTATATCAGCTAAATCAACAATACAGTAAAAACTAAACAGTGCATTCATATGTGCTGGATAATTTCCATGTTTCTCATCTGAACTATCAATTTGATATTCCCTGCCAGTGCTCATGCACTTCTATATATTTGTTCTATATAAACCCTGTGACATAAACCATGGTGATTTTCAATATGTTTTGATTATTGTCCCCTTGCTTGGCCTACAAATTAACAGCTTCTGTAAAGAATCCAATCTCTCACCTTTCCAAGAGTTCTCTAAGAGAAGTCACTTCCTCTTCCTTCTGCAGCCGAGCAGATTCTGATTCTGACAGCTGCTCTCTTGTTTCATCCAGCTTTCTGCACAAACTCGTGTTTGCAGCCTAATAAAATGAATTACTGTATTTCCTTACATATAAAAACATGACTTTACAATGCACAGGACAATTATCAAGACAGCTCACAAATGTTTTAAAAGAATCAGTTTTAAAAGAATCAGTTACAGCCAAATGACCAATTAAGATATTATTGTATAAGCAGGCAGTAATTAGTTGTGTACTAGTGACTGATTACTTCTGTCACACTGAATAAGGGATACATGCTAAAGTAAGGCAGTGCTAAGCCTGTAATTCTTGTTAGTCCATATCAGTTGAGGGTTTGCCTCTTTATCAAGAAAAATCTCTCAAAAATAATGGAAAAAAGAATACACCCTGAAAGCTTTTTCGCCATCTAAAAGCTTAAAAAGAGAAAAATTAAATAGTAGGAAAATGTTGTTTATTAAAGCCTATATGAAATATGAAGGGCAATCGAAAACAACCCAACTTCTTTCACAGCTAGACTCTCCAGAGAAGTCTGCCAAACTTAAGAGTCCTCAGGGCACATAGCTAATTGCATCTAAAGGTATGTATTTCTCCTAGAAGGCAAGGCCACATCCAGTAATCTTAACTTTCTTCTTTCTGAATTCCTTACAACTCTGTATGACCCTTCTAACCCAACTGTTTGATAAACTTATTGCAAAAATTCTGGGCTTTTTTCTGGCTGGGTTATTTCTTAGCCACATTAATTCTCTAATTCAGTGCCCTTTGCAGCCTACAAATAGATGGATCTACATATGTGGCTGTATGGGAATGCAGGGTCTAAGAAAAGTACATCTGAAACTGACACCCCCATTTGAGAAGAGAACACATAGCCAGGTCTTACATAGAATCTGTAAAGACGTTAGTGAGTTCCAGGACGGTTTGGGTGGATATCTATCCTTCCCAACAGAACCTGACCAGCTTTCAAGGCAGGACAAATCCTAAGTAACATCACGCTTTCCATAATCTCTGCTTCAGTGGCCATCAGCTGCTCAGTATTTTGTCTGCAGCACCTGTATTTATACAAGGGCGTTCTCACACTCGCAGCCAGTCATCAGAAATGCTGCTCGCCTTTCCAGTTGTAACACTAATGCCTGCTGACACAAACACCTCCGATTTTAATTCAGATCAAGCACCTACTTGTAACTCTGTAATCTCTTCCTCCGCTGCATGCTGTTGTCGCTTCTGCTCCTCAAGTTGCTCTCTTACTTTCCCACACTCCTCACTGACAGCCTGGCAGAGAGATTGAGCCAGTAGTTAATAATCCTCCAGTGAAGGTGAATGCCACCCCTTCACCTACAAAATTCCCAGCTGTGAATTATGAGTGCTCTTACTGCCATGCATGGAATAAATGCAGTGCCACTGGCTCATGAAAGACAGCTAAAAAGACACTCAACTCTCAGAATCAAGGAAACTCACTTTATGGTGGCACTTTGACTGTGTTTTACTGTTACTTTGCACAGTCAAGGTCAAACCCATGCAGTGGCATAAGCCTCTGAGCAACAACCAATCTTAGACATTTCAGAATGGCAAAGCAAACACAGTGAAGTCTTCAGCCTTTAGGTATGCTGTTTCATATACACAGGGCTGACTCATGCTTTTTTGGAAGCAACACTTTGATCTTTCCAGCTGCTACCTTGAGCAGCTGAAAGCAAAAATACATGAGAGAATTAAATGCAAAAGCAACTGGTCTCAGTCTAAGTTTCCTTCCATCAGTTCTTAGGAGAAGCGGTGTTATAGGTGTGAGGAACAGGTCTTGAAATGTTCCTACAAAAAAAGGAAACAACCACAGCTGTGACCAGAGGGACAGCAGATGCCACCTTCAGTGCCAGTGTAAGAAATCATCACCCTTTTACATCACCCTTTTACCTCAGATAGGCCTAGATCATGAGCACAGAGATATTTTCAGATTCCCAGGCTAAGGCTGGTTGCATGTTAGTCTCAGAGCCTGACCCACACAAACCTTAGCATTTCATGCAGTAATTGCTGTAGCAGATGGTAAAGCAGCTCCCTCAGCTATAATAATTACATTAATTTACCTTGAATTTTGTCTGATAATTTAGAATCTCTGTGCTCATTTGAAATTTTATTGCAGACAGCTCTTCTTGGCTGGTCTCTTTGAAACTCTGTGCCTGTTTCTTTATTGTCTCCAGCTGCAGTTGCAGACTTGGGACAGCTGCGGCACACATTCGAGCCTCCTCTAATTTCTCTTGCAGGCTCTTGTTCTCCTCTCTGAGATTAGAGATGTCAAGCTTCAGCTTCTCCTGTTGCTCTGCTGCCTGTTCTTCCAGTTCTTTGAATCTTTCTGTGGCTTGAGCCAACTGCTCTTCTGTATCCACCTTTTCAGAGGTTAAGGCACAAATCTGAATACCAAGTTCAGCCATATCAGTGTTGGTCCTGTGGAGAAGATCTTTATTTTCTTCATTTTCCACCCTAGCATTTTCCAAATACCGCTTAACCTTAGACAGCTCTTCCTTTAGGTTCATCAAATTATTTTCCAGCTCAGCTTTTTGATGGGCTGTTCTCTCCTGCTCTTTTTTGAGCTTTTCTTCCCTTTCTTTACATTGCACCAGTTCTTGCACATGATTTCTGTTGAGAGACTCACACTGCTCTTTCAGCTGCTGGACAAGTGTCTTCTGCTCACTCAAGACAGTCTCAGTGACTGCCAGCTCACTTCTCATCCTCTCTCTCTCATCAGTGGCCTGCTGAAGCTTGACTCGCAGATCGAGGACTTCTGCCTGCAGCCTGGACACTTCACCTCGGTTGACCTCCAGCTGCTCTTCACTCATGGTCAGTCTGAAGGCCAGCTCTTTTGCCTCCTTCTCCAGGGACGCTGCCTGCTGTAGTTGCTGTTTTTCCACTGATTCCTTTTCTGATGTGAGAGATTCTATAAGTTTTGTCTGATGAAGGCATGTCTTTTCAACACTGAGCTTTTCTATCTCAAGAGTCTCTGCTTTCTTCCTGTGTCTTTCAGCTTCTGCTCTTAGCTGCTGACATTGGCTTTCCATGCCCTGCAGTTCTACTTCCTTCTCTGTGAGCTGTGACTGGAGACACTCTTTGCTTTCCTTCAAGGTGTCCAAGCTTTTTTCCATTTGTAAACTACACTGTTTGGCACTCTTCAGCTGTGCTTCAAGTGAGGCATAAGACTCCTTGGAGGTCTCTTCTCTTTGCTTTAGTTCTTCATATTCTGAGTGCAGAGCCTCCAGCCTCTCCTCTAGAATTTGGCTTTGCCTCCTGGCATTCTGCAAGTCTTCATCCAGCTGTTTGTTCTCACCCCGGAGCTTCTTCTCTTTTTCATCAACTGACACCAGGGCATCATCTATCTCACCCTGAAGTTGTTTCTCAGAGGCTCTCAACCTGGCTATATCAGCTTCTAGGGAAGCTTTAGAAGCTTCCAGATTTTTCAGCTTCTCTTCCATCTTCTTCTTAGACTGCTGCAAATTCTCATTCTCTGCTTTCAGTTTCCTGCTCTCCTCATCCAATTCACTCACTGCAGAGTTTTGCTGCTCCATCTTCTCCTCCAGCTCCTTGACTTTCTGCCTGAGATGCTCCTTCTCAGACATGAGTTTCTGGTTTTGCTCCTGAAGGCTACACACAGTCTGACTCACCTTTGTTAAGCGACCCTCCTGTAGTTCAAGTTGCTCTGCTTGTGACTGGGCTTCCTGCTTCAGTGCTCCTTCTCTCCTAGCATACTCCTCCTCAAGTTTCTCTTTTTCCTTCCTGGTATCCTCAAGACTTTTTTCCAGTGAACCCACCTGAGCCAGCGACCCCATTACCTGGGTCTGGAGCTCAGCCATCTCCTTTCCTTTCAGAGTCAGGGCCTTCTGAAGTGCATCCTTTTCCTTTGCCATTGTCTCCAGGCTCCCAGTCAGCTTTTCACTCTCTTCTTTAGAGTTAGTAGTAAGGCTGTTGTATCTGGATTCCAGTTCCTTCTGTGCCTGTTCTTTCAGCAGCAGCTCCTCCCTTGCTGCTTTCAGCTGAGATGCATGTTCAGCATTGAGTCTTTGCATATCTGCCTTTTCCTTTTCCATCTCCTGAAGCTTCTCTAACAGCGCCTGTATTTGTAGGGCAGAGTCATACTGGGCTGTGGCTTGCTGTCCCTTTTCGTCCAAGGCAGCATCAACTTTTGCAAGGAGGTTGAGGTTCTTCTGTTCTGTGGAACTCAGCTTGGCTTTGAGCTCATCAATGCAAAGATCCTTCACAGCAATCAAAGCCCTAGAGGTCTCCAGCTCCTGATTCGAAACCTGCAATTTTGAGGCACAATCTTCCTTGCTGGTCAACAGCTGTTCCACCTTTGTTAAGTGTTCCTTCTGCTGCTCTGCTGCACTCAGTTCCAGTGACTGTAGGCACTTCTGCAGGTCATGCACAGTGCTCTGAGTGGAGTGTGACACCTCACACTGCTTCTGTAACTCTGCGATCATCTTTGTCAGCCGGGAGTTCTCCTCACTGTAGTTATTGCTCTTCTCCTTTTCTACCTGTACTTGCTCCTTTTGAAGGCTGACAGCTGCCTGGAGCTCCTGGTTTTCAATTTCTAGCTGGTGAATACGATCTTGAAGTTCCCTCTGCCTCAGCTCAGCCTGGTCAAGTTCTAAACGCATCTCTTCGTAGCCCTCAAGGTGTTCAACATTTAGTGAGTTATTTACATCAGGGCTGGAAGGAAACTCTTGTGCCTAAATGAACAGAAGGGGAAAATCAGAAAGTTTAAGCAGCATTAAACATTCATTTAAATGGTGTGCTCAAATGAGAGCAAGTTCAGGTTCTTAGTGTACAGTGACATGGTGTGTTGCCTTCATAGCACCACAAGATATCAAGTTGTAGGAAATGGGGCTTGTTTTCCCAAAAGATAAATGAAAACATACCTGTCTGTAGGTAGTCTTATGAACATATTTTTTTCTTTTACAAGATTTGCATGTTAAGTTGAAGCAGCTGACACTTTACTTTTAATTAAAAATGCTTTTTGCAATTTAGATTATAAGACACATAACCATCATAAAAGTTCTCTGAAAGAATGTCAACCAAGGACCTGTCGTGACTTCTAAACATTTATTTGCAATCTGCTTACCTGCAAATAATTGCTCACTAAACTGCTCATGCTGGAACTGCGACTTGGGGGCTTCCATAAATATGCTGAAGATCCAAGTGAGGACAGTGTCCTCCTGTTGATCACACAGAAAAACAATATCTAAGGTAAGTCTAAGCACATATATATGTGTCTTTCTATTTGTATATGTACAATTTATCTAGTGGAACTACCACATAAAAAAGAACATAACTGTCCCTGCTGTCTCGGCCAACAACCACTGAAGTTGATGAAAAAATAAGACAGAGCTATCCAAGGCATCTATAAAAGGTGATGGGGCTGGTAGCTGTCACTTCCCTCATCCACAATAACCAATGCAGCCTTTCTCTAAGGAATTGTGTCGCTGTATGGTGGCCGCTCAACCAGAGGGTGGCAGCAAATGGCCCTAAGAAACCCCCATTGCTACAAATGGGTCTGGACCAGACCTGGTAGTTTTTGTTATCCCCCACTTGTAGGCGGGATCACCGTGGCTGCAAGTGAAGCACACTGCTTGGCTGTGTAGTCACTACATGTCTCAGCTCTTGAAACAGAGGAAACTAAGAAGATTTATTCTTGTGTATGTATAGTTGAGAATAGCTTGGGATTTGGGCCAAAACTGCAGCTACTGGAAGTGCCATATTACAGAGCACCATCTCTGATCCCTGGTGCTCAGTATACTGAAGGCAAAACCGGACAATTTGGTCATGGATTAATTAAATGGAAAAAGCATATACCTACTCAAACACAAGTACTCCTACCCTCAAAAGAAGCTTTTACAGATTCTTTAGCAAGCAGGTGTTTTTTGTCCTTGTTAATACAAACTCACAAAGTGTCTACATCTTACCTGGCAAATGTTGGCCAAGCAGCATCTAAATCATAGCCTCTTGATGCTAAGTCAAACTGAACATCAGTGAGCTCATAGAGTTGACCCACAATGTCAGAACTCATTTTGGAATTCAGAAATGGACTTCTTGCATAGTACCAGTCACTTGAAAACAAAACAAAAAAAAACCAAAAGAGAAGTAATATTCATTCACAGGCGAAAGGGTAGCAGCAGTTTATTTTACAAAAACCTCCTACATCATTATTTACTCCTTCTCAAAAAAACTATGATACAGTATTCTAAACACAAATGAAAACAACCAGACCCACCAAACAATATTCCATCCCTTCAATGTCAATGAAATTAAACAAATTTAATTAATTCCACATAAATATCTTTAAAGGAATCCCTGCACAAAATATTTTTTCTTCTACTGCTTGGGCAAATCACTGACAATGCAAAATATTTGCAATACACTGGACAATCACACAGTAAGTAACTAAAGCATACATTTAATACATCAAAAATGAGGAACAGAAAGAAGCACCCAGAGTTAAATGCATCATGAAAATAGCTGGCTTTTTCTTAAAGCCCTAGCAGCATCTCTCCAACCAAATACAAACTATCTTTGGAATTTTAAGGGCAAGTTATTCCTTTGTGTAACTATCAACAGATATATGCAAATACTTTCTGGGGCCTTGTGCAACACATCCAAATTAATCCTCTCATGATGAATAGCCCATCAAACCCAGGGTCTTCAATAATTACAAATGTATCTCCTCTGAAACTGATGTACAGAAGCATCAGCACAACTTGCTCCACATATATTAAGCTGTAATAACTTTCAACCTTTACAAGCCCAAGATAGGCATGAACCAGTGACCTAGGCCAAAAGGTCTATGATCCTTCATATCCTATTACCAGCTCTCTAAGCCAAACAACTGGAAGTGTTTCAATTTCTTTCAACAACTATGAGGTGATGCTGCTTGATCACACTGAGCAGACACCCATTAGCTAAAAAAGCACTTTGCTACTCACCTGGTCACTTTAGTGTTCATAAAACATTGCTGCAAGGTGTCTGCTAGCCTTTGGTGAACCAGGGAGTAACGAAGAAATGCTCTTCCTTTTCCAAGAGAGGTTCGTAGCTGGTAGAGAGAAACCACAAGAAAAGAAAGTTAAATATCATTTGTGATCATATAAAGACATGTCCAGAACAGCCTACAAAGCAACACAAAAATACTCACAATAAGCCACTATAAAGGAAAAAGTTGTACAGGAAGCCAGTGAGAACTGCCACTAAGAAACACCTTTTCTACTTCTGCTATTCTTTTCCTAAGTCTTTCATTGGCTGGAATCTTTTCAGAATGATGAATTTGTTTATACAGCTGGCTGTTGTCCACTTTATAATAATATAAAAGGCATCACAGGACCAATGAGTCATCTAATATATTGAGTACCTGAGTACAGACTATGAACAGTTACAGACTAAGAACAATTCAAAATATAGGGCAAATCTCAGTGAGCCCAGCAAAGACAGAAGTGACAGCTTAAGTTATTGAAGATGTGTATGGCCACAGCTGGAAGAGCTTTAGGAAAGATTTAGTCATAAAACAAAGATGTACACATATACAAATATACATCCCCATGGACACAGTAACCCCACACAATGCAGAAAGCGTTTCTTAATACCTAGCCATTAATTTGATTAAAATTTAATTATTTCTTCAGATCAAGAACAGCTGCATGACCAAAATTAATGGATCTTTTTATGAAGACGGCTGTTAAATCAACATAAGGGGGATCACAAAGCTCAGTACTCAATTTTTTTATAGCTATTGACTTGAAAAATTGATATTTTGTTTTTACATCTGAACCATTTTCTGTCCTGCCAAATAGTGAAAAACTGAATAGTTCTGTTTCTTCTTTCCATCAAAGTTAGTAATCAATTTAGAAATGGAAAAGGAGTGTGATGAAAGAATTTCTCACCTAACTGCTCATCTAACTAACAAAGCAAACACATTTATGATTTAAAATAGAAGTCAAGACAAATAATAGAGAGGCTGAGGTACAAGTTAGTAGGTTAATATAAATTTTGCTTGAAAGGTTAGTGTGAAAGAAGGCTCAAAGGCCACACAAGCTTTCTTTCCCACCAATCTGTATTCCACTGTCCTGAAGTGAGAGTAATACCCTCAGCTTCCCTGTTTTTGCTGTTACTGGGCTTCTGCTCTTAAGTAACACAGGCTCTTCATTTAGTTCAGTAACCCACTACATACAAAAATGTTCCTTATAAATGGTCCTCAACGAAATGTGAAGCAAAGATAGCAACACTTTTTACCAATTTTTATTTTGAATTCTACAGGATACAATGTGCAAAATGCCACAGTCTCTCAGCACTAAGTATGCCAGAAACATCAAATTTAATTTACCACCTGGTTTTCACCCTCATCCACCCTGCAGATATCTGAACATTCTTCAGGGAGATGCTGTCCCTATTCTGTGCACAGAAGCTTAGAAGTGTTTTTTCCTAACTAGGCATATTTAGGGAGTATCTTAAGAACTGTAAAAAAAAAAAAAACCCAAACCATGGAAGGCACAGAATTAACCCTATCCTTACTCCCATTTATCAATTTAAATTGCGATACTTTCTGTACGCAATATGGAGAGACCAGAAAAATCGTACATGATAAGAATCAGAGGAAAATTTTTACATATATGCAGCTACAAGTAGCTAAAGACTATTTGACTAAGAAACAAAACCATGCCACCTCCTGCTGGAGCCCTGCTAGAAATCAGGGAGGCAGAGTGTCTGGAATTGACAATATTTCCATGTTGACAGAAAACATTGTAGGTAAGGTGCAGTGTATGGCTGTAAATATTTGGAAAAATGTGTATTCAGTGTAATCGCCTTTGGAAAGGGAAAGGGGAATGACCAGAGCCCACTGCTCACCTACTGCTCTCAAGAATAAGGCCCTCTGCTTAACTAACAGATAACAGTTTCCAGGTTATTCTTATTTGCTTCCTTGCTCCACCTCTCTAGCATATCATGCACCCTAATATTAGAAGCACTGCAAGCAGAGCAGAACAAGCATTTATGCTGTTGAATGTTTGACTGTTCTTTAAGTTAACCACTATTACTTTTTCCTTTTGGTTCATTTCCAGGTTTGAAAGTCAACTAGTATCGCTCAGTAGGCAAATAAAGGACATTTGGAAACCTTTATGTTCTATCCAGCCAGGTTCAAAAATTTGCTGCTGTTTCCTACCTATAATGAAGGGGAATAACAAACATACATTTGTGCCATGTGTCATTTAGTTTCTGAGCCCAAGTCTGCCAGCTCAGTTACCCAAAACAGATCACTGATTCTTTTTTTAGGAGTTTGTATTTCTAAACCACAAGTTAATAAAGATTAAAGAAGCCTTCCACAAGCTAATTTCTATGGTTGCACATAAAGTGAAGTAGAAAATATTCCACTTCTAAACTATAATTTCTGACCCCGTGCTAACAATTTAACAGCCAGAGGTACTGAAGAAGGAAAAAGCAGAGCAGTCTTTACATGTGGCAATATGCAGGTGATGCCACAAGCAACAGACTGCTGAAGACTACAGCACAGCCTTTCCAGAGAAGCCTGCAATCACCACACCACTGTCTCTTCTATCCACTACAAAAATCTTCTTCAAATAATTCTAAAGACTCAGACAGGATCAACACAGAAAGCTTCCCACAGCTTTCATTTCACCCACGCATTGAGCTGAAGACATAATGTGTTTTTTACGAGATTAAGCTTTTATTACTAATCTAAATCTAATAGGAACAAGGCTTTTTGTGCTGTTCCTGACAGCTTACCTAAAGGAATGATGACAATCATCCCTTATCATTTCATCATGCTATTTCACACAGAGAAACAGAGTTCAGACAGAAGATGAAATTGCTGCTCCTAGTCAGTCCTCCCAAACTCTATGGACCAGTTAAAAAAGTCTTAAGAAAAGCCAAATATGGTGAAGCTTTCACCTTACACTTAGAGCCAAATCCTACCACAAGATTTGCTGAAGATGGCACACTCTACCCTTGACTTAATTTTTCATTTATTTTTAGAGAAAATGGCTTTACATTTATGAAGACACAGGGCACAACCAGAGACAAACAGGTCCATTCACTTGTGTAAGTGCTCTTTGAAACAGGAATCAGGCTTTCGAATCCTACATAATTTAGTGCCCTAGTAAAAAGAGCCATCTTGCATTTTTATACTTCATGTAAAAATTAGAAAAAAACATCCCTTTTTTTTTTGCTATATGTTAAAAGCAGTGTATTTTTTTTTTTTAGTTTGTTGTTATCCCTCTCTGAAAAAACATGGCAGAACATTAACCACATATTCTGATGCTTAACTGATATACTTACTTCTGTAATAGACTTGACAAAGCGGATTCCATCATTAGCTCCTTTGATTTTTGCCAGACAGTCACAGAAATAATCCCAGTAATCTTTTCTGTTCCCCAGCAATGTGCTTTTTTCTTTCTGGTCAAACTTAAACCAGGAAAACAAAATACAATGAGCAAAATTGCAATAGAAATATACTTATATATACCTACTTGGAGTCCTGTTCCTCTCCCAGCAGTATGTGCTTTCATGTCTCCCCTTAGCTTTAGCCAATGCATTCACAAAGGAAAGAGACACTGCACTGTACTGATGCAATCCAGCAGTTACAAAAGCAACTTAACTGACAGTAAGAGATAATAATGCTCTGGATCTCTTTAAAATACAGACATCCATTCAAAACTCCTGAGACAAAGACTGGCAGCAGATTCAGCAGCTGTTCAAGAGCAAGGCACTGACAGCCAGCTGCTGAGAGATCTGCAATTAAGAGCGGCAGTAGCACACACGTATGCACCAGAAAAACCTGCTCTAGCTAAATCATGTTCAGAGCAGCAATGCAGCAAGGGTACGGACTGCACCTTGGACCATTCAAATCCCAAAGGATTTTCCAGCTTTTGCTCTGCAATTCCTTGCCTAGATTAAGGCTAGATTAGCATTTGTTGCAAATTAGCATTTGCTGCAATCAGTGGCATGATTATGGTATATGTGGACACCATACTATGCAAGAATTTCAGTTTGCCCAGAAGCATCCTCGTTTACTTAAACCTTAAGGGTGGACAAAAAGCAGCACTCCAGATTAAAAATCAGCCTTTTGCCTCAAGCCTTCCATACAACACCAACAAAAAAAACTTTCCAAAGAGAAATCGCTGAAAATTCTATAAATTACTCACATCCAGTATTTATTTTGCATTAGAATGTCAAGATACCATTACCACAGTTTTTTCAGGATAATTTAGCAAGATATATCTTTAAAATCAAATTCAGATTTTTCAGATCAACAGAGAAATGCCTTACAGTCCTCAGTAAACTTCCAGCACTGCCTTTTGATTACATTTATTTTCACTTGAAATAAGTATAATAGGCAGCAGATATTTCAGTCCTCTTATTACACATACCAAAATAAAATAGAAAGAGAGACTCAATTGGATATTTATAGTTATTTGAGTTAAAGTCCACATAGTGAAGAGTCAGCAAGAGAAAACAAGGCTGAGCTTTGCTGGTAGATTACAAATGACACAAATCACATTTTACCTGTAAGAGGTATTCAAGCTTGTAGGAGAATTTTTGCAAGTTGACACTGTCATCTGTGATCGGTTCACCTCCTTCTTTAAATTCTTTACTTAATTCAGTCACTGCATCTTTAAAACAAGACACCAAAATAGTAAACTAATGCAAAGGACATATAGTACCGAATCCATAAACAACTAAATAAATGCTTTCTTCATGGACATTCTGCACGTAGACTCATTTTCTTTTAGCTGAAATGTCTGAATGACAGTATGAAAAAATGACTGATAAGCTTGCTATTTGAGACCACCTATAAGAAAACAGGAGTTCAAACTGTATCAATCTGTTGTATGGATTATTTCTTAAAAACACGCCTAGCACTTCTCACACTTAGCAAAACCTGCTAATAGACAACTGCTAATTGCTACATCAGCAGAGGAAAGAGAAATAACTTTTTGCTGTCTCATGTGCATATTAAGGTATTGCCACAGGACAAACAGAATTCTGATTAGAAAGGACAAAGCATGTAATCTGCTAAAGGGGATCAGTAACACAAGAACAGTCGTTCAGTCAGCACATTTATCTTCTCCATGCTTTATTCAGGAAGGTTCAGCTTGTACTGATTACAAACACAAATGAAAAAATAACTTGCATAAAAAATAAGCAAATGGCACCTCCTCTTCCCTGAAATGTACACCTATAGTGGGTAAGGAAATCTCAAGTCAAAATACACTTTATCGTCCCCCTGAACACTCTAGCCCCAAAAGGATGTACTTCTCAGCATCAGAAATTACTGGTTTTGAGCTTGCTTTCCCCTTGGTCTTATATTTATTTCAGGTGACTGAGTGAGCTTTAGCTCCCAGTCCCATTCAATAACCCTTTGCAAATAAAAATTTCTTCTAGTTTGTAGTCACATAGATCTCCTTTTTCATGTTACAGGAAGATGTAGATTTTCAGTTTTGGTGCATATACTTTTTATTTAATAAAAATTAAAAGGAAAAATATCAGAATCTTGGGATAGGCAGCTGATTAGGACAGAAAGAGTGCAGAAAAACTGTTATGAATCTGATACCAATTCTGTCCACAACAGAACTGTTTCAATTAAGTTGCCTGCTTCTAGTGGAAGACAGGTTCCACTGCAGCAAGAGCAACAGGTGTAATTCTCCAGCACCCTTCATCTGGGTCTCCTTTCCCAGTTAGGTTTGGCCTCCTGTTTTTTTCCCTTCCCACATTAGCCTCAACTCCACACCAGCTTTCCCTTAAAGAAGGCTGAATTTTAGGCCCTTTCTCCTTACTTCCCATGAAGTCTTGTAGCAGCACAGCTCTATGCATGCTGATAAAAGTACTAGTTCATAATGCACACCTCACACACTCCTTTCTTTAAACTGTAGAACTTTTTTTTCCTCTTGTATATTTAAATTTACAGAATTTAAGAATTCAGTGTTCTGCAGGAAGTACAGCACTTGTCTCACAAAAAAAAATCAGTCACACTGCACACCTTGAATTGTGTTGCTACAATGCTTCAGGAAAGAGATACACAATAGAAAACACAACTCCTGCTCTCAGTTATCTAAACCCTGGAGGATGCAGCCCAGCCTCCAGAACATATCTGTCAGCATGGCACTCACTGTACCTTGCAAGTCTCTGATAATCCGCTGCAGCTGGCTTTCGCCACTCATTGCTGCCATCTTGAAAACAAAAGCAACTCCCCTTCTGGGCTGTTAACCTTTTCATCCATCTAGACAAAAACAGCAGAGTTCATATCCTTGAAGACCATTGGGTTGACGCTGATTATTTTTCTCTGTGACACCTGCAATTGTAAAAATCAAAAATAAAATTAAAGTCTTTATCAGCTCAAATGAGTAGAAAAGAGGTGCTTTGGCATTTTCAATCCTGTTGAGTAATGAATTCCAAGGCCAACCCTTTTCCAAAAATCTCCTTAATATTTTCTTCTAGTTTTCACTTTCCATTTTGGTTATTTCTTCAGTTATATCTTTCAAAACAACTAAGCAAACCTCAGAGAGCAATATTCTCTGGCTGGAGTTATGACACAGCTCATCTCTAGCTGGCATTTCACTCAATCTATCTTGTGACTCTGAGAGAGATTCCAATGACACGTGATTTTCCCTCCCCAAACCCTCTGCCAGATCTTCCCTACAGGCTGTAGAGTAAAAAGATAAGACAACTTTTCCATTTCAGAAGGACTTTCAATACACAGAGCAGGCATGAGCCAAGAAGTCAAAAATGATATATGCGTGACTCTCTGACATTGGAGCATATTTTTAATATGTAAGAGCTATTTGAATATTTAGCACTGGAGTGTGATTTTAGCACAAGGAGCACCTCTCAACCTCTTCTCAGAACCCACTGTTCCCTACACATGTAAGATGACACCACTTTATTTTAAGCTCTGTTACAGCATCCCTGCCTGGATCAACATACCTTGCACCACCTTCTTTGCTTAGAATGAGTTATACTTGGTACTCACAGAAAATCTTTCTTAAGGCAAAATTAATCAAAACCCTCAAACGCTTCACTAAAACAAGCATGCCTGGGGATGAAATCTTTCCAACGCTAATCTGGGAACAGCCATTCAAAGAAAAAAGCCACAGAGAAACTACATAGGAAACTTATACTAAGCATCCTGCTGAAAGGTTATTCCAAATTCTGTCTGCAGAGATACAGCCAAAGTTTCAAACAAAGACAACACCCAAAGTACTGAAACTTTAGAAAAACTGCTGTTACACATCAGTGCTTTTGTTATTATTCAAGATGAACTACAATGAAATTAAGTTGTAATTAAAATCTTGCAAACTTTTGAATCTAATGTGATTAGGTCACATTATTATATCTCCTTTCTCTTTCCATTCTTTCACTCCCAAAAGTGCATGGCTGAAGTAGGTGTCTGAATTAAAACAGATCATCCTTCCTACCCGATGCATTAAGGTATTGCTAGGAAGTGATCCCAATGTGACCCTGATTATTTATTGTTTGAAACAAAACAAACATTAACAAAGCCATAGAGACAGAAAAACATTAAGTACAAAGAGAAGGCTGAAACCAGGTTTACCCCTGAGTTTCTCTGCATACCTGTACTCACATGCTAGTTTCCATTTCCATGTTTTGATGTTAGTTGTTATGTTATGACACAAGTGTTATGTTATGACATAAGTGTCACGTAGACCATGTGCTGTCTGGGGAAAGGCTTTTGCCTGCAAAATCCCCACCACAACCAGTTGCTTCAAGGACAGAAGACCAGAACAGCATAGACCACGTGACCTGTGGTGCCAAACACAATTTTTTACCTTAAATCAACAATGTTACATACCCAAGATTCTCATGCTACCCAAAGACCATACAAAGTACCACGCTTCCTGGCAACTTGCTGACTTTGGGTACTACTGAAAAAAGAGCAAGAGTAACAAACTCAGCAACTCAAAGTTTCCTTTTCTAAGCACTCACAGTAATATCAGCCTATCTGTTCACTTTGGCAACTGTTTCAGAAAGGAGCTGAAGTGAGAAGCTTGCGCCCTGAGGGCAATAGAAGCCAAAAAGCGCGGCCAAACCAACTGCTTTTCCTCATGCAAAGAGGGAAAAGAGCAAGGACCAACAAGGGGGTCCTGCCTGTGCTTCCCAAAGGCCAGAATAAGCTCCCATTCAAGGCTCCAGAGACACAAAGGCTTTGGAAGAGGCATGCCAGGAAAACATGACCAGACCAACTGCTGGCATCTACAGAGAGAATTGGAAGTTGCAAATTGAGCCTTTATTTTGCAATAACCAGCAGGGAGTGGGACACTGGGCATCCTATGGCAGCCAGGCACAGCACGGGACCTTGTCAAGTGCCAATTCCCAGCAGGGTGCACAAGCAGACATTCACTGGAAGAGGACTAAGGCTGTTCAGAGTTTCCCCAGCCCTATTAGCACTGTTTAAATCCATGTGTAATCAGAAGCCACAAATACATGACTACTAGGTGCACCACAGCTCAGTGGCACAGTGCAAGAGAAGGCTCTGTGCTCCCAGTGGGTTGATCTTGCTGTGCCAAAGCAGCTCAAAATACACAACTTTATTCCTGTTTGGATCTCCTAGGTAGAATGTGAGAACCCTGAAAAGAAACCACAACTCAGCTGGAGGCATGAAGATGCACAGCCCACTCCTCTGCCTACTCCCTGTCACCTTTTAATACCTGGAGCAAGGTCTCACAGCTTCCCTCTTCCTTGCATCAACTCCCACAGATGAGACATGCATTTATCCCCTAGTCTTCCCAAAAGGTGATCTTTTGACCTGGGCTATGGCACAGGGCAAATGTGCTGAAACTTCTTCTACTTGCCTTCTCTTCTACAAAACGGGGAGAAAGATTCTTCTCCCTCCGTGGTCCTTCCAGAGGCGTTCTTAGAAAACACAGTCACCCCACAGAAAGGCGCAGAGCTCTCACCTCCTAAGGCAAAGAAAATTGACAATGTATCTTAACTGGTTTCCCAAGGTTTCAAAATAAAAAGAGCTTCTGTAAACACCTGATCTAGTCCTTCCTGATCACAGAAAATTTTGCCCAGAATTCTTTAGTCGCACCAGAATTCCCTGTTCCTCCAGCATTTCCTATCCAAAAGTAAACATCTGCTTTGTGAAAACAGCATGATACATTCCTCAAACACGAGTGACCTGCTGTGGGTTGAGAGCTTTTTAGATGATGCATTGTTACCTCTTATATAACAGCACTGGACTAAGGCTGATGGCATTAACTTGCCCAGAACTGTTGAGCTGCAATGAAACCAGCACAGCTACACTAAGGACCTGGCACAGAGGAGGCAAGGCAGGGCATGCCACCAGTCCCTCCCACCAGAACTCCTGGGCCATGCTCATCTCTGAAGGTGGTTTCTGCCTTTCCTGCTGGCATAAGTGTGGGGGTGGCAATCTTCTTTACAGAGGAGGATATCCTGGAGATTAAAGAAAGAAGCAGAAAGGAAATAGCCCACAAACAGGAAAAGGAAAGATTTACCTGAAGGGGAGTGAGACACATATAAAACAGGCAACAAAATATAATGACTGTAATTAAACTGGTTAATGAAGTAGCTACAATGACCCATATTTAATCTGATTCTATAAAATTTATCTTAATTTTTTACATCATGTCTGCATCTCCAACAGCTAGGTTTTTTTTTTTTTATTAATTGGTCAGTTTTAGCCAACCTTGACACAAAGTAGCCATCTTCAACATACTACTTCTCCATGTGCAATGAAAACAGGAAGCAAGGAGGATGTCCATGAGCAAAGTGTCTCTGCATTGTTAAAAATGCTACAGTGAGACCTTCATTATAGCCTTATACGAGAGAATCCACTCTCCATCCAAGTGTGTTTTCAGTGTGCAGTAAGAGCAGAGCTCACACTGCAGATTTGGTGTAATTCAGATAAACAGTAAATCAGATCTGCAAAAAATAGTCATTGGAAACCAAGATCCATTACTTTCTACTGCTTATGGAAATATTTCTTGTTAATATGATTATTCTAATCTAGTCGCTCCAAACAAAGGCACTTCATCACATGGCCCCAGATGTTATCACAAGACCTTTAATTATTTGGTGCCTACAATTCTATGTCTTTTCTAACATTCTATATGAATCAAAACAGGCAAGTGAGTATACTGAGACAAATCCTATATTTGTGAGCCAGAACTTTAACTGCATTATTCCTTTGTGTACGGTGAACATGATATATTCTATAAAAGCAGATACCGTGCAAGGCACACAATGGGAAAAAACCCCAACAACCTACCTGGTCATTCAGCTGCCTACAAGACACTGACAAAAGACACTGAATGCAAACCTCATGGCAAAGATGAAGGAAGAACTGGGAAAAAAATGTCCCTATCTCTCAGAACTGCAAAAGCATTGATTTAGTTAAATAATTTAATTCCAGTAATTTTCTGAAAAAAAACTACTTTGTACTTTGTTGTTGCAGCATAGAGCCCCAGTGAAAGTCACAGCACCTGTGCTGCAGCTTTTCTCATTTTGTACCATGCAGGCACATAGAACTGCACATCCATAAAAGCTGAAGAACTATTTGCTGGGAGTAAGGGTCTGAAGTATAAAAAAGACAGCATGATTCTTCTGTCATGCACACACATGCTTTTTATAGGGCAACGCAACCCTTTATGCTTTAACACTGCATACAAAGATACGTGACTTTGTATGTGATAAAAACACATGCTGGACTATATTAAACAGGAGGATTAAAAGCAAAAGGCAGGCACAGCCTGAAAGACAACTATGGTTTCCATTATGAGAAGTGAAATTTGCTTTTCAAATTAATCATTCCCCTTCATTTTATACACCAACAAAACTTCACATTTCAGTGACAAAAACATGGTTCAGGAATATAAACAACTAGCAATAAAAAACATGTTAAAGAAAACATACGTTCAGAAAAACAAATTCTCAGAGGATCGTAACATAGCAGAAGAGAGTAACTAGATGAAAAGCATAAAAACATTCACATGTCACAAATGCTTGGCAGAAAATGAGTATTTTTATAGTTAAGGACTCCTTACAGTAAAGCCTTTTTACGGGAAGGCTCTTGTGCTCTAGGTATATTTGCATTTTACAGCATAAGAACACAAACTATTGACATTCACAAAATACTGCTTGTAATCCTAGCCTGACAGAAGAGACTGACACAAAAGAATTAGTAAAGTTTTAAAAGTTTTTTTGAGAAATCTTCTCTATTCTATGGACAACTGACCTACATTCTATCCCTATTCCCTGTATTTGCAACCCCCTCTCAGAAAAAGATCAAAACTAGGCAACAGACAAGAGTATACAGTGGCACGATAAAAACTCCATGAGACTGAGTTAATTTTTAACCTTGAGTGGACAAAGCTAGCACCTAAACAAATTTTTTTAATGCTGCACCTACCAAACTGGATCTCCACCCTAACACCTGGCTTGAAACCTTTTAAAACCTTACACTGTACTTTGCCAAACAGGACACATGCACCAGACCAGGGATTCAGATTCCTGACTTGGAGAACATTGTTTTGTCTCTGATATTCTTTCACATCAATAACTGTTGAACAACATGAACTCAAATGACCACTTTCTGCAAACAACACCACAGGGATGACCTAGTACATATCTCACAAAGACAACCTTGTCTCAGCTATCTCATGATGACAGAACTTCCCTGTTTGAGGAAGCAGTCAGTTTACAAAGTTTATATCTTCTGATAACAAGACTTTTATGAATATAGCTTTTAACAAACTTCTCTGTCCTTTTCCCTTAGGACACGTCCCATGTCAGGAATGCTACATCTTGTTTACTAACATCTATCAATTAACCCAACTATACCTCTCCCAGAGACTTGCTCACTCCTCACTGCTCACATCCTATTTCATTCCCCCCTGGGTGAATAGGTACCCCTGCTGTCTCAATACCTGTATGGTGAGCTGAAAAGACAGGATTCATTCAAAAGTGAAAAGGTTTTTTTCCCCTTCATGCTCTCATTTTAACAATTCTCCCTGGGTCCCTCCCTGCCACAAAATCTGCTCTTTCTCTCTACAACTCATACAACCATTTAAAAGCCTTACACATTCTTCAAGCCAGGCACATGACACTCAGGTGCTACTCTGAGGAGCACCATGTAGACACCTACAGAAATAGAAACACCAGAGGACTTCCAGCTGCAAAGGAGCATTTGGTGATTCACAACACTCAACTCACTCATCATACAAGCTTGGAGATGTCAAAAAATGTCTTATTTTTCAGGTCATAAAAATTGGTCTCTGAGCCTTGTTAGCTTGCTCAGCAAGCTTGGCCTGACTGAAGTGTTCAGCCACATCTGAGACTTTAGGATAGTTAAAACCAACAACCATTACATCCTGGCTTTTAATGCAACCTTTCCTTAGCAGCACTTTTTACCTCTGTATCTACTGGTGCACACTGTCCCTCCAAGCTGAGGTTTCAGAAGTGCTTGAAAAGGCTTCCTCCAGCTAATGGTTTTGGGAAGTCTGGCAGATGGGTGTTGAGCCTTGCCCACTTGTAGCACCTCACGTGTCCTCCCTCCAGCCAGCAGCTCCCCAGAATAACTTCTGACCTATATGTGATTCCCAGTGAAATACCAACTTGCAACACTGAAAATTACAGGTTTTGACCACACACGTGTAGACCAAAAAGAGGGTGAGGCAAGCAAAAACCAGGCTGAGACAACCCAAACTGACAGGCCACTGAGTGAGTCATGCTGCCCACAGTCAACAGAAAGAGATCTTGTTTTCCTTCCTCTGTAGCAGGAAGAATGGAGTGTTTCCTCTCTCCCTCTTTTCTTGTGAGTTTTCCAGTGAAGGGCACCATTTTGGGGGGGAAGGGGAAATTTCTGAGTTACAAATCCCAAAGATTTAGAAGCATTTGGAGGAGAGGCTGTATGAGACTGTCATGCTGGGTGGCTGGGAGGAGACAGGCTCACAGATGACGCAGGCTTGGCATGAGCCCAGTTATTTGGGATATCCTGATCCAACCAGCTCACTTTTGAAACTTAAACTGGCTTGTAGCAATAGCAAGACCTTTCCTGTCTTCATACTTCTTCCCAGCAGGACTCATTCAGGGGTTAACTGTTTGAAAATATCTGCTGAGGTAACTATACCACCAGCCAACACAGAATACCAACATGGGCAAAAGTATTAAACCAAAGGAAGGGCATACAAATCAAGGTCCTGTGCTTGCACTGAGATCCAGGCACTTTGCATAAAAAGTTCTGCTCTTTCTACCAGTGTTACAAACTGTAAAACCTTCTTCAGAATACATTTGGGCAAAGGATTTTAAATTATTACTATCAGAGAATGTTTGGACCCAAACAGCCACATCTCCACAAACAAAATGGAATTACTACATCAAAATACAAACTAGACAAGATACAAGCTGCTGAAGTGTCCTTGCATTGGCAAAACCAAATGAATACACAGTAATACAAATAAATAAATATATTAAAATGATAATGTGTAACAATTAAAACACTTAGGGCTCTTACAGTTCCTTTAATAATCTCAGAAATATGTAAAGAGTAGTAGAAGAGTTTGATGTTTACCTAACAAATAAACAATTGTTAATTTTTAAATATAATCAACTAAGAAAAACAAACAATCTGAGTTAAAAAAATTTTGAGCATTACTTTTCCTTGGGTCTACTGCATAATTTCTGCAACTTTACTGACTACATCTTGACTAGTTTTCTCTCCCTAGTTGTTTCTTAGGTCTTGATCATGAATAAAACAAGTCTTAGAGGAAGCCAGCCTCCAGGATGTTAGGACAAATTCCTACTCCTTTTATGTAACCCTCTAGCAGTGGAGAGAGAGACTGCAAACATAATACACTCTTTCACTGTTATCAAATGGTGTATGTAAGAGACTCCTTTATACGTGAAATCAGGCTCCATAACTAACAGGTTCTTGAGAAGTAGTAGTGAAACCAGATTTATAACAAATGCTGTCAAATATATATACTACAGATATTACATATGTATACTACAACAAGCAGAGCAAAACTGACTATCAGATGTTTTGCACCACAGTATCTTAAGATACAACTTTTTAACTGCAGCGCAGTCACCTAAATGTGAACGTCTGAAACACTCTTTGGAACATCTGGAACATTTTTTAAATTCAAGCACTCACACGAGGATCATTGGAAGACTCCAAGAAACTGCCTTGCACACCATAAAATCTGGAAAACATAAAACACACTACTGCATGGCAGTAAGACAGAACACGTTGCCATGCTACTGACCAAACAGAGAACGTGTTTTACCCTGGAAGTTTCATCCTAGCTTGCCTTCATGAGCATACAAAGTCAGAGCTGGATAAAATCATCCACTTTCACTCTTCAGCATTAAAGGAACAAAGGCCTGGTACTTCTCCATCTGTTTTAACTTCAAATTTAAAACTTCAAGCTTGGTTTCAAGTGACAGGAAAAACCAGGAGAGTGAAGCTGACCAACTCTGTGTGCCAAGCCAACCTTGCAAAAATCAGCAGCAGGCTGGGTGCAGTGACCCGGACAGAAAACAGGGCCCTGTGCTCGGGCAGTCGCAGCCCCAGGGGATCTACCAGCTTCCAAAACACCGTACAGCCCCTCCACAGCCCGACTCACCACCGCAGCACCTCTACCCCAGTGGAATCCAGTGTCCAAAGGCAGCAGACAACTATTTCACTAAAACCCTGGGTTTTTTCCTTCTCCTTGCTCACTCTGGATTACCAGGATCAACATAAGCCGGAGGAGGAGGGCCGGCTGCAAACTCGGCATCTGCTCTGGAGACAGCCCCAGCCGCCCCGTGTGCCAGCAAAACCCTCTCCCTGTCCATCCGCCGGAGATTTGCCGACACAAGGGCAAAGTGGGATTAGGGCCGCGGCAAATATTTGCCTGTCAGCACTTTAGAGCGGGGTGAGGGCACGGCCACGGGCGGGTGTTCGGTTTCCAGCAGGGCGACTCCGCACCCCCTGCAGCTGCAGGAGGGCAGAAAACAGAGGGCAGCGCTGATGTCGGCCTAAAGTCAGCGCTCACCGCGGGACACGACTGACACTTCAAGGGACTGCGTCTACATGGTGGCCCAGAGGGACAGGGACACCCCCGTTCCGGGGGGCTCCCAGGCGATGACAGCCAGCATCCCGCCCTCCCCGGGCTGCTGTGTCCTTGCCATGCCCGCGCTCACCCCGCCGTTGAGCCAGCCTGGGCACCCCCTAAGGCGCCCGGCAACTCTCGCCCCGCCGGGGCTCCTCCCCTCGAAGCCGAGCTCGGCGAGGCAACAAGTGGATGCCGCCGAAGTCACTTCCCCTTCTCCCCGCCAGCTCCCTCCGCTCGGCGCCACCTCCCCGCCCTCGGCCCCGCCGCGCCCCCTCGGGGGTTTGCGGGAGGGGTCGCTCGGTACCTGCGCGGCCGCCGCCGCCGCCGCCATGTCGCGCAGAGGCGGCCCGGGGTGAGGCCCCGGCGCTCCCGCCCGACTACAACTCCCGTGAGGCCGCGGAGGGGCCGCCCCACACCCGGGCGGTGTCCGGCTGCAGCGCCGGGGCTGCCCGCCGGCGGGGGGACGCAGCGCCGCGGGGAGAGCTGAGGGGTTTGGAGCGGCTTTGGGGGAGAAATCGTCGCTTTCGGCTACGGCTGCAGCTCTGGGGTGGTTTTCTTTCGGGGAGGCTGGTGTTTCTGGTGCCCTCACGCAAGGGCGCTTTTTACAGAACCACAGAGTCGTTAGGGTTGGGCTGGACTCCGGAGCAGTCACCTCGAGCAGGTGACGCAGGAACGCGTCCAGGTGGGTTTGGAATGTCTCCAGAGAGGGACACTCCGCCTCCCTGGGCAGCCTGTTCAGTGCTCTGCCACCCTCAATGTAAAATTCTTCCTCACGCTGAAGTGAAACTTCCCTGTGTTTTGGTTTATGGTCATTGCTTCTTGGTCTGTTGCTGGGCACCACTGAAAAAAAAACCCAAACCAAACCAAAACAACAAAAAAACTTAATAAAATCTTGTTGTGTGTTTTAATACTTTTAAATATAGTACTGGCTGTTGCTTTTAGGACTGTTCTATATGGGGGTTTTCCTTTTTTTTTTTTTATTTTTTCTCATTTGCATATCAGTTCATCAAGCTCTTTGCACAGACAACTGAGGCAAATGTGAAAGTCAGGCATGATAAATGTGGTATGCAGCAGATTTCCCATCTCTGCTCTTGCCGGTTGATGAAAGAAAAATCCTCATCCCTGAACTGAAGGGATGAGAGGACATAGTCTCAAGCTGTGCCAAGGGAGGTTGAGGCTGGACATTAGGAGGAATTTCTTCACGGAAAGGGCGATAAGACATTGGAGTGGGCTGCCCAGGCAGGTGGAGTCACCATCCCTGGAGGTATTAAAGGAAAGAATGGGCATGGCACTCAGTGCCATGGTCTCGTGGATAGGGTGATGTTTTTTTAGTCATGGGTTGGACTCAATCTCAAAGGTCCTTTCCAACCTAATTGATTCTGTGACTATGTGAAAGACACAGGGAGAGATTAGTATGTCTACATAAAGTAAGAGACTGGGAGAAAGCAGGTGTGAAACTGGAACAAGAGGTTGCTTCCTGAAACAGGGTGTGGGGGATACAGGGCACAGGGTTCCTAACACTCCCAGCACCAGGCCCCTTCTACAAGCAGGCTGTTTCCTCTTTTCAGATTTTATCCCTCCCATAATGCATATGATTCTCTGAAAGGACATTTCTTTCCCAGTTCCTGAAATAGGTTACTCTTGTTTTGCACTTTAAGTGCAAACTTGAAAAACTTCCTTTGCTTTTTTTTATTTTTCCACATTGCTTTGGTAAATAAAATATTTCAAATTAAACTTGTGAGCAAGCAGTTTGTCACCAGTTCTTGCCACAATGCTTGTGACTTTCTTAGCGTCATATAGACATCAGTTTAAGGTGAAGATCAAAGCATCAAATTTTCAAGAGTCTTGAGGAAATACATGTAGTACGTAGTCACTGACATGTCATCATCCTTCACATATAAGAATGACTAAGTGACCTTAGGTTTTGGTGATTAATCTTCATCTAATATATGGTTTTTTAATAGCTCGAAAGCATTTTAGTGCCCTTAGAAATGCAGATTATAGGGCTATGCATGTTGCAGGCCTTGAGAAATACAGTGAGATGTCTTACACCATTTGGAAGCAACTTTCAGGCTTACTTTTCTTGGCACACTTTGCTGAATTGTGCAGCAGTGCCAGGAGCATCTGTTGAAAATGAGTTAGTTTTCCATTGATCTCTAGGCAACTGGGTGGCTTCCAAAAGTAATCTCAGGGTCATCAGACACACGGTAAATCAAATCCCATATAATTTCACTGCAATGGATTTTATTTAAGAAATTTTCAAAAAGTCTGTGTAGAATTCTACTTTTCACTTGAAAACAATCAATTAGAATGGATTTTTCCTCTTTTTAATTATGTAGTAACAAGCTACTTTCAGAAATATTTAATTATTGATGTTAATTATTGAATTATTTCCTGTTTATGTACACATCAATTTCTTCAGACAAAAACATGCTGTTTCCAACTAGATCAGTAGCTTATAAGCACTTCCTTAGAATTTTCTCTATTTCTTCGTTTTTTTAGCAATAGAAGGTGTTAGAGATCTTTCCTTTTTGGAAGCTGCACTAGAAAAAAAGAAACCACATTGTCTGCTCCACATGTGTTGCTTTCCTGTATGTTTACGCTGATAAAATTTGTTGATTAACTTCTTCATAAACCATGATGGGCTATATGGGAATTATTTTCAGTTTTACTAGCCAGAAAAGGCAATGTCAGTCATGCCACCAAAAGGGAAGCCTTTGCTGGGAAAGGTTTTTGCACTAGGTAATAGAGGTAGCCAACTCAACTAAAACAACTAAATTACTGCTTAGTGGTCTCCTGTGCACCATAGATGAGTGTTTTATGATGGTGTCTGTGTCCATACAATGCATTCCTTCCATCTGTCTGATGTTATTGTTATATGAGCTACATGTTTTCTTTAAATTTTTTGCAATAGTTAATTTATGTTATATAATGACTGGAAGGGCTTTGCTTCCACTAGCACTTGAGGTATTTTATGAGGGTAGCTAACTCCCGGTTCCCCAGGTCACCCTCAATGGATTAACATACCATTGTAGCTAGACTGAACAACAGGCTGCTGTTCATCATCAGAAACCTTCTGTGACTGTGGGGAGAAAGCTTTGGAAGCACTTTTTGCATTTGTTTGCATTCTGTTTTGAATAGGTGGACAAATAATTGTCAGTAGGTATAAAGCTGGGGGTAGGCAACATAAAAAGAACCAGCAAAGCTCTGGGAAACATCTAGAAGCAAATATGGCATTTTAGACAAAGTGGCTGAGGGGTCTGGAAGAATATTCTGCTAAATACCAGATCAACTTCTGAGACTGACTTCCAGCAGAGCACATCAGGTTTAGTAGCTGTCACTAATCAGAACTGGCTGCATTTCACTCCTGTGTGGACAAAGTAGGTACCAAGAGTTTTATCTGGTTTGGTGCTGGTTCAGCTGCACCAACAAAAATGTGGGAGAGCCAAGACATAAACTCTGGACTGTGCAGTTTAAATAAAACAGAGTCTTTTATCTTTTATATACATCTGTATGGGTGGCACAGGGATGGAGAGCGTTGGTTTTTTTTTTTTTTTTTTTTTTTGCTTCTATTTGTTGGAAGAAAGCAGCATTGTTTGGAGGAATAAAACAAACTCAAATATGTTTTGGTTCCATTACCTCAGCAGTTCCTGAATATGGAAGAGAGTATTCCACTCCTCACACTTTTCCTTGTCCTTCTCAGTATTTTGCTTCACTGGATGTGCAAGGGTATTTTCAGCTGCAGAGTAACCATAAGGAGAAGATAAAATAGAATTTTATTTATGATTTCAGTAAACTCAATATTTCAAAATATTGAGAATATGAAGGTATCCTCAATGAAGGTATTCTCAGTGAAAACACTTTTGGCAGTAAAGAAGTACAGGTTATGGTTTGCCAAAATTGCACCCATTTATAAATGTGATTCTTGCTCTGATTATGATCAGAAGCAAAGTTATCATTGATTTTAGTGGAAAGAGGGCATTTCCTTAAACATAGGGTTAAAAGTCAGCTTTGCTAGAAAAGATCTTGGATTCTGAGTGGACAAAAAATTGAACATAATGCAGGTATATGGCCTTGCAGCAGTGAAGACTAACTGTTTATGGGCCTGTGCTGCCATCAGGCTGAGTGAAACCTTTATTCCACTCTGCCTGACATGCTCGTGGTCCCTGAGAACGTCTTAGTACTGCAGGTCCCGTGACCTGCAGTACAGCATCTAGTTTTGGGGCCACCAATATAGGAAAGAAACATTGACTGACTGAAGTTAGCCATATGAAGGATCACCAAGATGGACAGAGAGCTGGAGTACATATGAGGACACTAAACTGGCTGGGATATGTATAACCCCAGGAAAAAAACGTTTAGGGGAGATCTGATGGCTCTTTTCCATTCTCTAATGTGAAGACACAGAGAAGGCAAGGAAAAAGCAACATCACCAGGTTGCAGCAAAAGAAATGTTGTTTGTGTGGAAGCAAAAACATCCAACATAAGAGTTATTAAGCATCTCAACAAGGACTCAGAAGAGTTATGGAGTCCCTGTTTTTGCAGATTATCAGTTTGACCAGATAAAGCCCTGAGTGACCTTGTCTGATCAGGAAGATAAAATTTCTGTGAGCAGCACAGAGCAGTGAATCACCTCCAGAAGTCTCTTCAATGTTAAATTAACTTATGAAAATTCACAATTACTTCTTCAATTGAGAATACCTTAATAGATGGTTATCAGAGGCTGAGAACAATAGTCACAGGGTAGAATTCCATTGGGATTTCTGAATGTTTATTAGTACTACTTCATTATATCAGGAGGCAGCATATCTTCATTCTGAATTACTTTGGTTATGGCAGCAATACAGTTGGGTAATATCAAGAATTATTTTTACATACTCAGATACACTGTAACAAAATATGCTGAAGTTACAAACGTATTTACATAATTTACTAAAAACTGGGCAGAGCAGGATAATTTCAGACTTTGTTCTTCTATTATAATTCTCAGCTTTGTTTTAGACAGATGTAAAATATATGAACAGTAAAGATTTCACAGTCATGTGGCTCTAGGACAATGAATTGAATGACAACTTATTGAAATTATGTAGGTGTATGGGACCTCCTTGGTATTTGTGGCAACAGTATTTTCCTCTTGTGCAGATTTGCCGGTACCAATGAAGTGGTCCTGGATTACTAGAATAGAAGAAATTGGACTAATTTGTCCTTCAATAAGTTATCTCTTCAATAATCTACAGTATTCAGTCCCCAGCCCAAAGTCTTTTGAAGCCACATTCATTTCAAATGTTTCTTGTCAGAAAGCATTAGCCAAAGGCTGGTCTCCGCCACAGCCAGAAAAAATGACAACTTCTATCTTTTCATGGTTTGTCTGAGCACAAGTGAATTGGAACCCTGTAGAATTAATGAGTCCCCTTTTAATTTTTTTACATTATAGGCAGTAACTGTAGTAAGTGAGATACTGAGACTGATCAGTTCAGAAGGGGGCATCTGATGATAAGGGACATGATACAAACACTTTGTGCTGGCAACTAAACTGAAGAACAAACTAGAACCTATGGGCAAGCCCCGGGAAGACTCTCTGGGTCTATTTCATGTATGTTCACCCCATTCTTATGCTTTTCCTTTGGTATTCTTGCTTCTGAGTATAATCAGAAATAGGATATTGTATTATGGGCCTATCTGAGTTTCTCCTTTCCATAAACTACACAGCGTCTGTGAAGAATCTTTTGTCTGCTCCAGATAATCTTTAGAGATCAAATGAAATAGAGTGGAAACAGCACAGACATTTTAAGACAGATGCCCGAAAAGCCAAGTTGTTGCTTAGAACTGTTGCTAAACCATTGCTTGGTGCCACTGCAAAACTACCTAGGCTTTCCATATAAATACTGGGAAATTAAATATTCTGCTTTACAGGGACTTACAGGGACGTTACAGCTACACTAGAGTATGTACTATATGTTACACTGCCTGGGACTAAAAATACCTATTGAGCTAGAATGAAGAAGGATATCAGTTCATCTTAAAAAAAACAACAAAAAACAAACAAAAAAAACCCCACAAAAAACCAAAAAAACAACCAACCAACCAACCAAACAAACAAAGAAAGAAAACCCCAAACATCAATTTTACAAATAAAGCAAGCCATTTTTATGCTGCTATTTAAAAAGTCATTTGTTCTTGCACTATAACCTGTTTTTAAGTTTAAGTGTTCTCAGCACCATGGCAAAGGGAGAAAGGAGGGTAAGAGCAATTAGAAGCAAATATGCTCTGTTTGGCTCAGGAGATGAGCTGTTGATCTGCTTCCATCATCTGAAATAATATTGAAAGACTGGAAGAATCCTGTGGCAAAGGGCAGTAACAGAAGGAAAACTTCACATCCTAGTGAAGTATCTGTTTAACAGCTTGTGCTCCTTCTAAGGCTCTTCCAAAGTTTCCATTTCAGACCCAAAAGGCTACTTTTACACAAAGTTATTTTTATATATATTTATCTACCAGAAGATAAAAGAACATTTGCCCTAACAACTTCAGAAATTCTGAGGTCTTGTAGCTATTGTCAGCACAGTTAATCCAGAGACATCAGCCCCCATTAAAAAAAAAACAAAACCAAAAACAAACAATGAGTAAACTGTTAAACTCTGAAAAGCATTAAAATTTACAAAAATACCTATGTGTCCATTGCTATATACAATCCAAGTATTTTAAGTCAGGTAAGAAAGAGATATGCAACAACATTTATGTTAAAACCTGATGTTTTAATGCCCAAAGGAAAAGCAATTTCTTTTCTTTTCAAAAGGGAGTATAAGTGAGAGAAAATCCATCTAACTGTGCAAAATAATGTGAACTTAAGACTTTCAGGCCAGTGAAATAATTTCTTCGCCTTCTCATCTCTCTATCCCACTGCAAATACACTTTGTTATTTTCCATACACAGAATGTTTGTGAAGAGTATATTTGTGTGTCTTTCTCAGGCAAGTGCCTCTAAGAATTAGAGGCTATCCATAGCATGCAAAATCTGAAAGTTCATTCAGGATTAGTCCTAATAGTTAGGTCTTGCTTCAGTAGACGGATGTCCCTTCATGCTGGAATTTGACTTCATAGCAGGTCCTTGGGCTGGAGGCTTGCCCATTGCTGCAGTGTAAACACAGACTGCATAACTGTGCCAAATGCCTCTTGAACTTCACTCCAACAAATACATAGAGCACAGGGTTGAGGCAGCAGTGGGAGAAAGCAATTTTACGGCTGATGTGAAAGGCAAGGCTGGAGTCTTTTACATACTGACAGGTAGGTGGTGGAAAAGTAGTCAGGAAGCTGAGGATGTTGTAGGGTGCCCAGCACAGGAAAAAAGCCACCACAATAATGAGGATGAGTCTCACAGTTCTGTGCTTTCTGCGAGATCTTGCTCTAAGCAGGATTATGAGTATCTTGAAGTAACAGAATATGATGACTCCAAAGGAAAACAGGAAGAGTACATTTCTCACATAAATGTCTACCTTTTTCCAGTTCCCATCTGCATAATCACAGTACCTGTGCTCTTCCAAGTCTTTTTGCACTGTGGTGTGAATCACCTCAGGAACCACAATTAAGATGCTAACAGTCCAGACAGCCAAGGACACCAGAACACCACAGCATTGCGTCTGGGATCTCAGAGTTGAAAGGGGGTTCACGACAAACAAGTACCTCAGGATAGTCATGAGAGTCAAAAAGAAAACACCGCTGTAGTAGCCAATGGAGAAAATAGCATTTGATGCTTTGCAAAGGAACTCACCAAAAATCCATCCAAAGGACTGGTCCACTACCCAAAATGGCAGCATGCAGGAGAAGACTAAATCGGAGATACAGAGATTCATGATGAAGATGTTTGTTAAAGATGTAAGGTTTTCATATTTCAGTAGGATCCATAACACCAAAGTGTTTCCTAGCAGACTGAGGAAAAATACCAGAATGTAGAGGACAGCAGTGAGATAGATGTTAAATGTGAAGTAGTCACCCATTTCACAGACATTGGTTTCATTAGGGTATTCATATGAGTAATTTTCATCTAAATAATAGTCTTCATCCATTTGTCTGTGCAAATCTTGTGCTGCTCTCCAGCAGCTACTTCAAAGGACTGTAACAAATCAAATGAAATCTTTTGTGAAAATCAACTCAATAACTAAACTCCCACTGTGGAAGCTTCTGTTTTAAGACAGAAAAAGCAGCAGTGAAACTAGCCATTTGGGGAGACAAAGGGCTCATTTCTTCTTGTGACTAGAACATGGATAGGTAGATACCAACGCCTTACTGTAAAGCACTCAAATCTTAATTACGTAAGAAGTCAGAAACTAAAATATTTCTGAAGCAATATGTTTGGTGATAACTTTCAATTACTAAGTTTCTACTATATGAATGCACGTTGTTTTTTGATGTAAATGTCTCAGGTGCCAAGACTTTCAAAGATGCTAGTGTTTATTCAGTTTTTGGAGTGGTATCCAACTCCTAAGAACTTCACTGTATAGATGATTCTTGGTCACCAAAGTTCTTCACCGCGTAAACCTAAAAAGCTGAGCAGTACCAGTAGCAACAACTTAGGCAATAAGAGCAGGAAAAGCCGGGTTTCTTACAGATTTTTATCTTGAGGTTTGTTGATATCTAAACATCTTGAATGTTTATATCTAAACATCTTGAAGCTGTGGTAGCAGCATCATCATGCTAGGTGCTCTGTGTACCTCTGTGGCCTGATGATTGTCAGGGATGTGACTGGAGCAGGGATCACATCACAGTCCTTTTCTGGGAGTGCTGCCTCTCTGTCTTTATTCAGGCAGGAATTTAATCCCAAGTGGATGGTGAGTTGAAACTGGCCAACAGGATCAAAAGTTAGTGGGACTGGGAAGATGGCATACAATCAGGTCACAGTAGCCTAATTTCTTTATGAAATTAGCTTAAAAATAGGCACAGAAAAATCAGTCATACCTCTGATCAATGATTTAAAGTCTAAATACACTGTATCCTCAAAAAAGGCTTATCTGCATCACCATGTTTGGATCCTGTTTTGACTGAAGCCAGTGAGAGACCTGCCACCGAGATCCTTCAAAGTACAGTAGCAACAAAGAAACGCCATAGCTCAGGCCAAAATTGTGACATTTTCCTTTTTTAATTATTGAAGGCAGAATCTGCCTGCTACAGCCAGACAAAGACATGCTGCCTTTGGAGGACAGGAAAGCTATGTCTACACCAGGAAAACATTTCAGGGAACACTCCTGGCTGCCAGAATTTAATCCGTGGGGGTAGGTGGTTTAGGTCAGCCAGAACATGACACAGGTAGCACAGGATAGGGATCATCTGTCCAGTGGGTTGTGATCAGCGAGTTTTGGAGGCAAGGGATGTGTAGGATTCAGTACTGTGACAGCAAGTGGCCCTGGAACATTTACCACGAGAGTCACAATTCTAACTGGAAAGATGTTTGTTTGTACAATGCTGCAGTTTTCAGGTGTGCCGGGCAAGTCCTTGCAAACGCAGTCACCCTTTCTGGTTTTACAAGACAGTACAGACAACACTTAAACAATGGATAGTTTAGATTGAGGTCCTGACCATCACTGTGTCCTATTTCAGCTCAGGCTGGGGTATGCTGCTCTTTAGCAGCTGTCCTAAGGGAGCAGAGAAGCCTCTTTGTGGATAATCAAGGTTCTCCAGGGATGAGACAACAGTACTAACCTGTGTCTTCACCACTTACTCTCTCCTTTAGTGCTGAGCACTCAGTGACAGCAAGCCCCAGGGCAAGTGTGCCTGCAGGCCAGGAGCTAGAGAGCCAGCAGGGCTGCTCCTGGGCTGCTCCTGATCACAGCACAATTGCTGTTGCCCCTGACACAGGAACCTTCTCACAAAGACCTCAGCCCTGATCACTGCCTCTGCCTGGGAAGTATTCTGACCTGCACATGTCCTGTCCCTCATCACATCATGCCATTCTGCTCTTCACACCCTTGCTGCAGGCTAGGCAGTGGTTAGAGTGGTTAGAGTGGTTAGAGAGCAGGTATCTGCTGGGGAGCTTTGCTCACCCTCCTGCTTGATGTCAGGAGCTAAGCAATACTTGCAAGACAGAAAGCACCATTTTACAAAGGTGTTTTGACATTATGTCAGATAACAGTTAACTGCCAAAATAAGGAAGTGTACCAACACATCTATTTTCTTCACAGTTCAGATGATAGGAGATGGTAAATAATTTCTGCAGTCCAAACAGTCTCTATTTTTCTCCATCTTCCCCAAGGACACTGATGCTGAGTATTCAGGCACTTGATTCATGCTGGCAGACAGCTGTGATTGGAAACCATGTTAGGAACTCTTGCTATTTCCATCTCCAAATTTCCATATGCCTTGGCATCTTACCTACCTGACTCAAAAGGCTCTGTCTTGCACTTTGGGAGGAACCAGAGGAATGCTTGGTTACATGGGGACATATGTCCCCTCTCTAATTTTGTGTCCAGCATTTCCAGAGAATGTAGGAAAATGCTTCTTTGAGGTAACTTGTTTCTTGTTGATTTTTAATGCTGCAAAGTTAGCTCTTGAATAATGCCACATTTCACAAAACAAGCTAATTCATCATATGCCATCTTACCTGGTGCAGGCTCCATGGAATTACAGATGGAGGCTCTAGCCGACAAAGCATCAGACCTTGTGGATGGATGATCAGGAATATATGCTTTGTTATTATGTTTGTACCAGCTGAGAAGCCCTCTCTCAGGTCAGTCATGGTAAGGAGAACCCTGCAGGAACCTAAGGCACTTAGATATTTTTCTTTTTACCTCAAAACACCTTAAATCAAAACTTGTATTTTTGTTCTACTGTATTTTATCTTTCCCATTTCAACTCTACAAATAAGAAAAGCTGTGTATTGATTTTCAGTTAAGATATATGCAAAAGAGATAACAAATGATGTGATTGGGTCAACAGGTAAAAAATACGTCAGTGTCACACAAGAAATACAAATCATGCAACTGTTTTCAATGTATATGTAATGGTACAAGTGAGAGCAGAAGTTGGTTGAAAGGTGGAAATTACCTTAGTTTTAGTTGTCAGGACAAACAGTAATAGAGGAAAAACACATCATACAGTTTAAAGTCTTTCCTGTTCTTCTGAAGAACACTCAGCAAGGCATTCAACATTCATTTCACTCTTGTCCAGAAAAACTGCTTCTCCAGAAGCCTTCATTTTCTAGCAAGGCTTTGCTTTGCCTTGGGGCATCATATTAAAAAAAGATTCTAATACAGAAATGGGGAAACAATACTATGAGTGCTATCCAGTTCAATTTTCTTTTTCTCTAAAAATTCAGTTTGACTTCTGTTAGCTGAAGGTGCATATTATTCATCAGTTTCTTTCATTTTCAAACTGAGCATTTGAAAGAGTGGGTGGGAGAAGCTGTCTGCTCACTTTGCAGTCAGTGGAGGGAGAGAGAAGCCACTGGCAGGAGCCACATCAGCCCCCACTCTGTGCTCTACTTCCTCCCCAGGCAGAGGTAGCTGAGACAGTCCACTTTAAGAAGATTCCTGGCATTTATACAGACAAGCTGAGGTTAATCTCGTCTTAATTGGAAAAGACAAGGGGAGTACAGTAGAGAGAAGCCCCCTATCATAAGGCATGCACTGATGGCATTTTTTATTCACTTTATTCATAAAGCCTCTGGACTTCACAGCTTGTTCTCCATGTTTCTCAGGGAAAAAAACAATTTAATATTTTTGCAGACTGGTTTACACTGGCAACAAACATTGACACGTAAAATAAATTTCTGTTCCCCTAAACTAAATTTATCTGGTAGCTGCTTCCTTAGCCAATCTCTTGTTCCAGATTGAGATAGGAAGAAAAAAATACCACAGATGACCTTTTCTGGCAAGAAAGACTTTAGTTTTTCAGAAAGGTTTATGGATCAGCCATTTAATTTAAGGAAATAAAAACACAGTAGATAACATTTCTCCTTCCCTAACTATCACTGGTATCTGTCTTGGACCACAGCCTTGGAGTCACAGGATAGGGGAAGTCCTGGAAGTCATGACTGGCAGATAGACTTGGTCCAAAGCACAAGTGTACTCTGGATAGTGCAGTCTGTGCTGGTGGATTAACTTTTTGTCTTCCTTAGAGGAAATCTGCGCATATTAGCAAACTCTTCCAGGACATGGATAAAGCAAAAGATCAAGGTAAAGTGAAAAGTCAGTAAGAATTCCCTTGTCCAATTCAGTTTTGTAGAGCCTCAAGAGGCAAGGAATCTCTTATCCTATTTTTAAAGCAAAACATTGTTGGGTTGGGATCATTCTCTGAGACCAATGCTCCCACTTTTGCCCCATGGGTTTCCCAAGGCAGGTACAACACTTACAGTGAGCCTGGAATCTTGGTGGCCTCCTGTTCCTCCTGAGCTCTGCCTCTCAGTCCTGCCATCAGCCCTGGGATAACCACAGTCTATGGAAGCAGCAACATCCCAAATGAAGAGTCTGGAACCCATCCTGAAACACACATTTGAGTTCAAATTTCCATAATAAGTTGGCAGCCCAAGGCTTGGACAGGAGCACTCTTTGCTGTGTTAAGAACTGGCTGGATGGGCAGGCCCAGGGAGTCATGATGAATGGTGCCACATCCAGTCACTAGTGGTGTCCCCCAGAGATCTGTGTTGGACCCAGTCCTATTTAATATCTTTATTGATGATCTGGGTGAGAGGATTCAGTCTACCATTAGCAAATTGGCGGTTTCATTGTGCTAGGGCTGGTCAGAAAGGATGTGGTGCTGGCAGCTGGGCAGCAGCTGGACAGCAGCTGTCCAACAGAGCACAGGCAGGAGCAACCTTGGCCAAAGAGGTTTGTGTGGAAGTGGAGGTGGTTGGTATCCTGCCTGTGGTTTCCTACAACAGGCTTTGTGCCAACAGGATTGCAGCTCTGGGTATTCTCTATTCTCCCCTAGGTCAAGAGCAAGGAGAAATTCAGCCCCTTGTTTTTGCAGGATGGTACAAAGGAGAACATCTCTCCCTGCTTGCAGCCAGGCAGGGTTTGGCCATGGCTTTCTTGGTCATTCATGCAGGGATGAGATGAGTAAGCAGTTCTGCAGGACGATAACAAGTAGTTCTTTTGGTAATAATTGGCTGTGAGGAAACAGAAAACAGGAGCTTTCGGAGATTTTTTGAAGGGCGAAATTGTCAATTTGTTTCTACA